GCCCTCGCCCCAGCCGTCTGCGAAGAGGAAGCTCTTTCAGGTGCCGAGATGAGCTGGGTCTCGAGGGCTCCTACCTCACCTCACACAACAACGCGGCCAGAGTTCGAGTGGGCTGACTTTCAGCCGCTTCCCCAAGCGCCCTACCCAGCGGAGCTTTCAAGAGAAACCTGCCAGTCACCACTAACATTTCCTCCATCTATTCTCCGATTAAGCTTCCTGAGATGCCATGAGGGCTGAGGTGACAGCCCTGACCTAACCAGCTACCGCCAGCATCTCAGTCACAGGTCACTTCTACATTTCCTTGACCAGTACATTTCCATTTTCAAGTAAAATATTTATTAAAAGTAGCATACAATAGAATAATAAACTAACYTTTAAAGAAAATGCTTGAATGGAGGATTAGAAAAGAAATCCTATTTTTATAAAGCATGCAATGAAAAGGGGACACTGCACAATACATTTAGTACACCTATGCTGTGACACTTGGATTTTACATAGAAGAGCTGAAAAGTGAAAATTCCTTCTCCATAAAGGTAAGAATTTGCCACCAAAAGTTCATCATTGTATCATTTGGGCATCTGTAAATCAGTTAATCAGACTGTTTCTTGGTGAATTTGCAATACTATGACTTCAATTATATAAACATTTATAACAGAAGAGACAGGCAGAGCTCTGCTAACCCAAACCCACTCAAACACAGCTAGGACAGTTGACACTGACATCAGTGCAAGAAACCATGTGTAGGGCTCAATTTCATGCTTTTTTAAAAATAAGCTGTTGGTTTTTAAAGTAAGTGTTGTTAGCACTTTTTAACATCTGCCCTGAGGAGTTCTCCCCTTAGTGTGTATGTAGAATTTTTGGATGTAAAATTGCTACAAGTGAACAAACAACACCAGCTGGAAAGTTTGACTTAAAAAAAAAAAAACCAAACAACCACATGGAAAGGTTAACTGTGAATTAAAGAATTTTATTTTGTGCATTTCAGAAATGAATAATGACATTTTCTAAAATCAGTTGTTGCTGTGATAGACAGACATGTAAAGCTCATGTTTCCATTTTACATTACAACATGCAGTATGAGAATGATACATTAGTTTACTTGAATTCTCAAGTTAATCACCTTTGAATAAATCAAGAGCTATTAACTGCGAACATTGGTAGCAGTTAAAATTATTTCAATTGGGAGGCAAAATAATTCTTCATATGATATAGATCAAGAAGCACCAACTGGAACACAACTGATGCACAGTTCTTACTGAGTTATTTAGTTTTGATTTTACCAATTATATGTTTGCATTATTAGATGTTTTTGACTGTAAAAGATAAACAATAATAATATAGCTCAGGATCAGTCAACATAAGTCAGCTATTTTTAGGGGATAATGACTTGATCTATATGGATATCTGCTCATGTTATATTAGATTTAACATTGTTTTCTTCCCTCATCATTTTTAAACTGTCTGGCTTGACAAAGTGTTGAGTAGCTTTTTGAGGAAAAAAAAAAAAGAAAACCTCCCAAACCAATAAACCACCACCCCCCCAAAAGTTAATAACCTTAAATCTTACTTTTGTTGCTACTTAACAGCAAAGTCAACCAATATATCATTTTTCCCTATTTAAAGTATTTGTCACTAAAACTATGCTCAACTAATCAGTGCAGAAGCAACATTATAAATGGGCATGTTTAGAAGTTCCATAACATATATATTTTTGTGTACACAGTGGTGATTTATCTTTAAAATTTTACTATTAAATTAGAAAAAAACCCTAGCAGTGACAAATATGCAGTCTCTATCAGCAGTGCAGTTTGCAAAACTGGAAAGCAATCTGTACATAACATAGGAAGGTTGTGATGAAAAATTTCTCATGTTTTTTTTTCCCAACACTTAAAGAGTGTTACTGCCAATATATATAATTTTGACACCTGGTGGAAATCTTCTTCAACAGTCATAGCTCTTAAGCTGCACTTCCAATTTTAAAGTGYTTTCATGAAGTAAGAACAATTTTTTCTGCCATTTCATTCCTGCTTTCTAAATCACAGGAGCCATAAAACATATCTTGWAATAATAAACAAGTATCCAGGAAAACAGTAAAAAGTAAATGATACAGTAGGACATAAACCTCAATATAATTATCAAGAATTTTGGAAAGTTCAGTACAGTATGAAAAATACTTTTTATGCCTCTTGTACATTAAAAAAATAATCTGTAGCTGACATTTCAGTAACATTTTTTGATCAAATGACATTCCTTACGCATTGTGTCRAGAAAATAAAAATTTCTCAACCCATGTACTGCAGCAGCTCAAAAGTTCAGGTATAATATAGACATTACCTATTCCTAACTTCTAAGGACTGAACACTTCAGCAAGGGAGTTAAAATCCTTAAAAACCTTTCAAATAAATAGTGTATAAGTATAGCCATCTCTTACAATTCATCTCTCTTGAGCCTGTTAACTTGCCCTTACATGTACTACCTGTAACACATCTCCCTGAACAAAACAGCATGTGTGCACTGTACTTTAGACAGGATACAGAAACTTTAAAATACAGAAACAATAAAATCTTGATCTATGTGTTTTAGTGCATTATAATTACATCCTGTATTTACTTCTTCAGCATTTGTTGTCTAACATYAAGAAATAGTGCTTCTGCTTTTCTGCCTTGTGATGTAGGAAGTGTCAACCTCACTCTCTGCCGGTTTATTGCACTAAGATGGAAGGATCGTATGAAGAGTTGAGAATTACAAACTGCACTCCTCTCAGTWTGTAATTCAGTGAACCCTGAATTGAACTTAAGGACATGGAGGCATCCAAATATGGAAAAACACACATTATGCATCATGTTCACTGGATTTGTTCCCAAAGGACACCATTTAGAGGTAGCATGCTGATTGTTATTGATGATACTTCAAAAGGTCCAGAAGCCATTCTCTTCTCTGACTGTAGGCTAGTACATCTTTCCATTGTGTTAAGTGCTTCCACCTGATTCAATAGAGCTAGGATTTTCCCAAAAATGAAGGGCTTAGGTGACCATATCTCTTCAATAAATTAAGCAGTCAAGCATGTTGGCCTTCCCTAACATATAGACTGTGCATTGTATGCACATTTCTGATGAATTATCCATGGCAAAAACCAGATATGAATGAGAAAACAGGTTTGCTATATGGCTCATGATATTGAAATACATCTAAAAGTAGATTAACATAGGGTGTTACCTCATTATTGCTCGAGGTAACTCTCAAAGTAAAGTTTTCAAAATTTTATATATAACTTCAAAAATTGATTTATTACAGTATTCATACACTTTATTTCTGTGGTTGCTTAGTGGAGTGTTCAATTGAACACATACAAAAACATCCCCATGATACAGTTCAATGGAGAGATAACATATTATGCTTTCATTAATGCACCGTGCTAGAGCACAAAGCATACCAAACTCAAAGCTAGAGGTTAGTCTACTCCCCCTTAAGCATGCATTTGCAAAAACATTAATTTACTCTTTAAGAGACAAAGAAAAAAAAACATAAGAGCTGTGCTACTTATTTTTAGCTCAGGAAGGAGCTTATTTACTTTGTYACATTAAGATTTTGTTTTGAAAAGGCTAAAAAACCAAAGCTATTTAAAATTAAGTTTGTGCATATTCTTAAAATTGCTCCATACTAAAAGTTTCTGCATCAAGTGTGCACTGCAGTTTTGTTTTATTGTCATGGCCTGAATTTCAAAAAAAACCTAAGCCCCACACAGTTATAGGGCACAAGAGCTGCTGGCATTCAGCATCTTTGAAAGTCAGGACACAGCTTAAGTGATTGTGCAGAACAGTTAATTTCCCTTGCAGTCTAAGCCAAGTGTTCATTTATGCCCAATAGTAAGACCACAGAAGTTTCATCAAATCAATCAAAATAAACTTTTACAAGTCATAAAGGGTTTCCAGGATAACACCAATTGACCAGGCCTGAGTTTCACAGCTAAAAGGACAGTACTGCCCATTCTCATTGGTTAGTTCTGGAAGCCCTTTCCAGGATGATCTGATAAAAGAAAACACAAGGAAATATTGTTGTCAGATTATAGCTTGAAATTAAAAKAATATTTCATTTTAAAACTGCTTAGAAATTTAACTTAGTAGGAAACTGAAAAGCATGACTAAAGGTCTGCTGTCCTACAGGCACAGTGTATCCTTTAATAATAGAGATCTAATTAATATTTTTTCACCTGTAGCTGGGAATTGAAACCTGATCTGCAATTACACATATGGCAGTGAACTTCCTATCTGGAGAAGAGATCCTGTTTATACAGTAAATCTGTACTCTTACATGCAATTGGATGGTAGATACCACYAGCTCGAATGATTATTTTGCATCTGTGTTCATTGTTATCTTACCTTTCAAGATGAACATAGTGGCGAGAAAGAACATTCTTAACCATAACTACAGTTTTTGCATATATCTCTGGACCAATCAACCTAGAGAAGTATAATTTGGCACGAAGAAAATATCCAATTGGCCACAGCCATTCCTAAGCAAAGAACAAAAAGAGATGATTATCAAAGCAATTGGATTGAAAAGATGACACTTTTTCTAAAATTGCAGGAAGTAGCTCTTACAGGTCCTTGGTGATAATTAAAACCTCTGGATATATTGTAGTTGTCATTGTCAAGAGCATTGTCATATACTCCACAGTACACCATATCACTGCAAGAAAGAAAAAATAGAGCAGATAGAGCCTTAATTAAAAATGATACATAGAAAAGGAAAACTGAAATGAACCAAAAATGTTGTCATTTATAGTTATTGATGGTTAAGTCAGGGAGGTCTCCACCAGGTTCTCTACATAACAGTGGAATTCCAAATAAAGTTTCAATTTGTAGGAAAATGGTCAATGTCTTGAAAGGACTTGAAGTCAGAGACTTAGTCAAARAAATGACTTAAAGTAGTAATTTTACCCTTTTACTCCAACTGTAGGGCTGTACACTGTATCAAACATAAATACGTTCCAAGCTGCAAATTCAACATCTTATATGATACCAAATTTGACTTGCTTACTGTGAGGTATCCAAAACCACCCAGCCATTGCCCATACAAAGGAATCAATTACAGGGACTTTTAGAACAGCAAAACAATTGTTCTGCAAGTACTGCCTGCAGCCTTATTTCATATGTATATATGAAGATTTCACATCATCTGCAGTACCCCTGCCCCACATCAAGTAACTCCTATTGCCATGTTTATCATGACCAGGAATTAATACTTCTCTCTACTGTACTTACTCTGGGTCTAAGGTTTTCATGCCTAATGGACCAAGAAGCTTTTCCTCTGCTATCTGCAGAGCTTTCCAAGCTCTCTCAGGTGTGAACAACTCAGGGGCCTATTAAAATAATAAAGATTYAATGAATAATCTCTGTGCATATACATGCATAATGCTGTGTGCGTGCAGAAGAAATGCAGAAGAGAACAAAAAGCCCGAGATTTGTATTACTGAATCCACTTCTAGAACATGCAAGTCCAAGTAAGCAAGAAAAGCAGAAGGTATCCAGTGCTTTTTTCAATTTTATTTTAAATACCCTTGACAAGTATTATTCCTGAAGCTCTTTATAAATCCAATAAAGACAAAGAATCCAGACTTTTTAGCCAATCTGATGGGGAAAGCAGCCTCCCAGACCCAGCCATAAAAGATATTTTGAATACAGTGAGCACTGCAAATTAGCAAGTCCTGTCATGGTATATTTTYAGGAGACAGTCCAAGATAGACCAATATTAGAAGTATGGGAAAAAAACAGCCACTTTCCAAAAGTTATTCCAAGCAATGTATGTTCCTGATATAATGTCATGCAGATAACCTTAAAATTTTCTTAAATGCAAGCTTAGCTTAGTTGTAAAGTGCAAAGSTCTCCTCCCACTCCCCCACACTTACCACAACCATTGCTATTGGAAAATTTGGCCTGAGTTGGTAATCACACCATGGACTTGAAGCTCCATAGCTGTCCTTATAAATTGCACGTTTGTGTACAAGATCTGGGTGTTTTTCATTAGGATCTGCTGGATTCTCAGAGACAAAGAACAGCCTTTCAAAGTGTCCTTGAATTTTCCTGTCCCATTCATCATACGTGATTATCTCCTCCTTTCCTGCAAGATGTTACATACAGTTTTAATTTTATGAAATCAGCCACAGTTGCAAGAGCACAAGTATGCTTCTTGAATTCCTTACACTTAATGTAACAGGAGTACACCTAGCATCATTCTCTCCAGTTTGTGATTCCCCATGTTTAGGCCCATTGTTACAGTTCACAGGAATAGCTCATTGAAATTTGTAGTGAGACTAGCACATTAGAGTCTTCACAGGGCCAGATAAGCTTAAAGTAACTTTGTAATTAGAAGAGTATTCCCTCTAAAACATAAGGGACTTCCAAATATATTGATGCAAATATTCCCAAAGAAGGGTTCTTCTGTGTTACGAATATGAGGGAGGGGGGAACAGAAAGAGAAAATAAAGAGAGGTGTCTTGCATCTTGTAATGAATCATACAATCATTACAATACACAGTAACCTTATCAATTATATCYATTTTGAGAAAAGGTATTCAGGTTCTGACATTTCTTTGTAATCCACAGAATAAACTATTTGAAATACTGAGAAGACAATAAAAACTTTTAATAAAATTTTATAGTAGCAATAGGACTTTAATCATACAAGATACTTTCCCAAATTTTCCCCCTTTTAACCCTAAACCTTATTCTGAAGTTATATGGTCACTATTTCAATGTTTTCGTTATTTTTATACCCCAGTAATACAATTACAARATGTGTCTGTTTTTACCATGTCTTTTTACTGTGACTCCCCGGAATGGAAATATGTTTTTCACAGATAAATCCATCAACCAGCGGACAGCTGACTTGCACAGGCCAACCATTTCCACAGCAGAGCCGTCTCTAAAATAATAATTAGAAAAAACATAATTAACTACTTTGAGAAGGCTGAGTGAGCAACTGAAAAAAATACATTAATAAGTATCTTATTTAAACAATTTATTTTTTCTTATTTTCCTACTATTCCCCTATTTCTCAGTCAGGGAATGAACTTGACGCAAACTGGCTAGCAAATACCTTTTTCTGTACAACAGCCTTATTTAAATTGGTATTAGCATACACAGCTAAATAGCACAAATGGAAGATAATTTTATACCAGTGATTAAGAACATGAAAAAACTATCAACCCCAAACAACTTAGTCCTCTGAAGTAACAATTGTGTTCAAAGCTTCTCAACTTCACAAACACTTCTGTAACTTTGGTAATAGCTCTGCCATAAGAGATTACTCAAGTCAAAAGTAAGGGATTAAAATAAGCATTAAAAGCACTTCTTGGCTTTGCTTCTTTTTTCAGGTAATATTCACATAATCAAAATATGCATGYATTTCACATAGTATCATACTCAGCTTTACTGTTTACTTGCTGGAATTTTMTCTCTCACATCACCAACTCAGCCTCTTTCAGGAAGTACCTCAATCTCTCTTGGCTCCCAAATAAAATGTTTGACATGTCAAGCAAGATGTTTTCCTCAATTCTCACATGTGGATGGCAATAGATTTGAAACTGATACTGTACTAAATTTAAGCAAGGATGCCCACAGCAGTTTGCCAGCACACAATAGGGAGCCTATTTTAAAATGCTACATCTCAACTCTGAACATGTAGATGTCAATATTTTTTAACTCAAATTAAGAAGTATTCAAACCAAAATATAACCCATATAAGAAGTCTGAATAACAAAATATTGCTAGTATGACAGTTATACAGTTTCCCCTAAATTACATTTTAAAACTTGAATTCAAAAGTCAACTCTTAGCATGGAGCTAAGAGAGTGATGGAAGCCAGAGGCTTCACTTGCCAAGAACACAGCTTTTTACTTCACATCAGCACAAAGAAAATAAACTCCATTAACATTTTAGTAGGTAGAAACATTCAGAATACTTGAAAACCTCTCAGATGTCTCAATAGAAGGCATAGTGGTTCTGTAGAAGAGCTTAGGTTAAAAAAATAATTAAGAAATCCYCTGCCTAAAGCCTGGATTTCATACCTTGGAGTAGCTGGAATTCCTTTGTTGCGAGCTTTGTCACTCTCTCCCATTTTATCCATCCAAGTGCCACAATTGAATCGGTTCCCCCCAAAGACAAAKCCAGTTTCATGGTCAATGCCTGCAGTTACATTAAAACCTGGCAAGCAAGAATATGAGATGTTAAGGCAATTTTTTAGACAAAACAAAACTCCTACTCCCCCCCCACCCAACCCAATTATCCTAGATAAACAAAAAAGAGACTAACAAGAAACCTGAAGTAGGTTTCTGAAGGCAACCATATTTTAAGTGAATTTTTAAAGATAACTTGTATTATATAAACTGTTGCTAACAATAAACAATTAATGAAGCACTTGTAAAATATTACATGTATATAAAGTAATAGAGTTTTAGTTACATTAAATATAATTTGAACAAAAAAGCTCAATAGAACAAGAAAATAAGAGGAAAATAAATACAAAATATAATCACCAACTTCTGTATTACACAGCAAGTGTTCTATGTATGTTACCTTCATCTCTCATGTTTTGATCAATCTGTGGACCAGCATTTCTTTCTCTGAAATTTATGCCTTGCATATGTCGTTGCATTGCTTCCTGTATCACTTCATAAAGTGGCTGATCCTATATTCATTGCATGTTTGGATGACATGTGAAAGGCAAGATGAAAAATGAGTAGAAAGTATTTCTTAAGCCTCTAGTTTGTGATATGATATTCCAAAAAAACCCCAAACCRTCRACATTTTCAASTAGCGACAGCAATACATTGTATACAACTTCTCACATAAATGTTTTTTCAAAACAAAATGCAACAAAAAGACTTAGAAACTGATGGATTTTTTTTTTCCTCCTTCCCCAACCCCCTGCCCCCCAACTTGGTCTAATCAGGTGATGCAGATGTAGCAAGAAGTGCCTAGAATATGGAATTCTTATGCCATAATCAAATGTCACCATAAACAATAGATAGCATCAGGTTCTTGTAGCTAGAAAAAAATAGATCCTTTCATGAAAAAATTACACTTTTGTTAAATACTTAAATTAGAAGTCATCTTTACCACAGTGCCTGCAGGCTGAGGAGAGGAGTCATCTCTTGGGTACATCCTAGAAACAGGACACCTGAGAATGTCTAACCCATTTGGAACAATTTTACAGTAGTCCTGGATACACTGAAGCCACCACCATACAGCATCACGACAGTTGTATCTGGCATGTGTCCCTCCGCCGAGCAGATTGGGAATGAGACCATGTCTTAAAGTCCCACCAAATGCTAAAATGATGTTTCTAGAAAAAAGAAAATCAGAATCTTGACCAAGTTGCCTTCAATATTATTGGACTAAGTATCAAATACAAAAGCATACAGGGTTATGTTAATAGCAAGGCAGGTCAAGAAGACAAACAGGACTTTAAAGACAGATGCCAAAAGTATGCTGTTGAAAGCTACAAATCACTCCATTTAGCATGAACTTTTACAATAAAAAACCACCCATTCCCTACAAATTCCTCAACATGAATACATTTAAATCAGCTTGTACAAAACATATATCATCTATTCATATGGAAAATATAATTTCCTTTATTATAGGTGATATAGACCCTAAATCCAAATCCCACTGCGGTCACAGGGAAGGTTTTWATTGACATTGTTTATGATTACCCTGGTATCCATTCTGATGGGTAGGGTGGAATGGGGACGGAGGGCAGGAGTAGATGGGAATTTCCTATTAAAATACAGAGAGGTGACAGCAACTGAGGTTATGAGAGGTTTCATTTGAGAACCGTTGCGCATACCTTGCAGAAAACACGGATTCCAATTAGCTTTAAAAGGCAAAATAAACATAATAGTAGATGCAGATGTCTCTGCATGAGAAAGCTAACAGTTGGCCAAATGTACAACAGCATAAACACATACTAATTTACACCAACTAATCTTATGTTTCTACTGTGTGTCAAGCTCCACTCAAATTAATATTAACCAAAATATCAAATTCATCTGGCTTCTCTATTTCTCATTTGTCAGGTAAAGATCTATAGACACCAGATTGTAACAATGCACAACTAGCTGATTTCTAGTATTAATAGACAATACTAGCAGTTACAAAAAAATCATGACAGACCTACAATCATGTCTTTCTGATTAAAACATTAGTCTCTTTTGCTACTTCAAATTTTTACGTAAGTAATTCTGAAATTATTGCTCAGCAACAATGATACAGGTCCTTGTGAAACAATCACTTTATTCAAGGACAAACAGTAGTGTTGCAGGGGTTAAAAATACCTTATCTATACAGAACATCAGCTTTGTATCAGTGCTAAGAAAACAAGAGAGAATCATTTGAGTAGTATTTTTAATCTCACTTAGAGAGAGCTCCCAAATAGTGTCATTAAAGTTTTATACTGCACGTCAGCTGTTTCTAACAGCTTGTGCATCAGTTCAGGTTTTGAAAGCGTGTCTTTTTCCTAACTACCAACAAAACCAACAAGAACTAAGGCTAAGCCAGTCTTACCTTGCTTCTAGATAGCGCCCAGTAACTAACAGTAAACCTCTTAGTGCAATAAAAGTATCCCTTCCCCACGAACGAAAAATTCCAGAAGAAAAGTGAGGTAAACCTGAAAAGAAATGTCATTATTAATCTAATTAATTGATACAGCAGAAATTTCCAAGCATGTATGCATAAAATAAATTGAAGTAAAAAAAATATATCCTCATTTATAACTTTTTTCTACATTAAGATATTTAAAATAAACAATCTCCTCAACCAAGTTCTTGATAGAATTAAATATGTCCTATTCTAAAACAGTATCATCTAGAATTTCAAGATCACACAACAGCTTCTCATATCAGTAACAGTAACATTTAGATTTTTATTAAATCACCTGGCAACTTTAAGTGCCATCACTTAATTACAAGAAATAGGAAAAAAAACTAACAAAAAACATCGGAACTATGACAAGATTATAACACTCTGCTGGCAAGAGTTTATGTATGAGACCTGTGGCATCTCAGTAGAATAAAGGGGATAAGACAGTTCTCAGTGTGAAAGACATCCTGTTTCTCTTTTCCAGCAGCTTACAGAACTACATTTTACTGCAGACATTATAATATGTAGCTTTAAGAATTACTCTAACTGCTAAGGCATAATTATTATAACAGTAAGGTCCATACTTGTTTTTTCTTCCATTTGATTCCTGTTATGATCTATTAAACAGAAATTCCATACAGTAAAATTTCAAACCAGCAGTCTCTTGTGCATGCTTGGTTGAACAACATTTAATTTTTACCACTTAATTTTACAAAGTATTTGCTACTCAAATGTGGCCTCCACATCTCTGCAAATTTATAGTACATGGCAGTAAAACTTGAGAATAACAATCTAATTGTACCATTTAAAAATCTCAGGMACAACTACCAGTGAATATGTGAAAGGAATGTTTAAAACCAATCCCTTTAGTGTAATTAATCTTTATGACAGATTTAAGGGAACACTGAGTCTCTGTGCTTCTAGGTAACACCAAAGCAGGCAAATGGAATGTTATTAAAATCCAGAAACTAAAAGCAATAAAGCTACAAAAGACTGATGGTAAAATGAAGAAAAGCACTGCACTGAGAGACTTGCCTCTGCATCTGYGGATGTTTGAAAGTTTCCATGGCTTCAGAAAATGAATGAGCCAACTYAGAACCAAATTAAATTCATTCCAAGCTACAGAAGATAATACTTTGGACATAGCAAAAATGCCCATAGGAAGACTGCCAAATGCTGGCAGAACATTTGGAGGTATAAATACTGCTTGCTTCCTGCATTTATGCTCTTTCCTTTTGGAGACAGTTTCAGATTAGGAGTTCTTCTTGTCTGCTAATGGTTCTGAGAACTTCTAAATCATAAATTCACCCTTGTTACTCCATTACAATTAACTTACTAAATTCATATTTATAAAAGATAAACTAAAACCTTAAGATAAGTATACTCATCTTAAGCAAGTCTTCTGGAAAGGAAAACAACATATTTGTAGATCTCTGTATATGGTAGCAACCAATATAGTAAAAAAAGTCTCTAAATAAGGAATTTATATATAAAGCTCTCCCTCCCAACCCCCATAAACACTACTAGAGAAAAAACCCATACTTTCAATRTAAGAAAATCCTTACCTTAAACACAAGGCAAAAGTGAGTGAAACTGATACATTCTATACATAATTGCTGACATATGGCTCTCAAACATGATGCAGAAAATTTTAAACTTAGTTACTAAAAACAGTTTGACTATTTTGGAAGACCTTTTTTTTTAAAGGTTGTTCTCACTTACCAGCTGCCAAGGAAACACAACATTGTTCTTTCTCATTTGTAACCTCATTCAGCCTATAGGGAACATCATGTAAGGAAGGAGACAGATCTGGCAGACTGGAGTATTTTCCTATCCCACACAACTGGATTGAACCCAAGGAAAGGTGTTTAACAAATGTTGATCCATTCTGCACAAAGCTGTGATTCAATATAAATTAAATTAATTTTGCATACAAAAATATCAGTTTATAAAATATATCTGTTTTCACTAACAGAAGGCTCTGACAAAAATTATGTGTAACAAATACAAAAAACTAGCAATGAATTAATACTAGCATTCTGCATTAACTAATTTTTTACAGGATTTGATTCGTAAATCACTCATTTTCCCAAAATGGGTGCCCAACATTAAGAGGCAAATCTTAATTTATTAATGCCAGTGGGAGTGTTTATGACAAGTACTTCTAGAAAACAGTGTTTAAAAAAAGAAAAGTCTTTTTTGGTTTAGTTGATGCCTATACACAGACTAAGACTTCAAAAATACGATAAAAAATATTTTACTATGAACAAAAGTTTGTCAAAACTAGTTAATATTTTTAAAAATCACATTTTTACATATATAAAAAAATTGCAAATCAAAACATCTGTTAGCATGTTGCTTGAAATAATGCAATCTACGTTCCTGACTAGTTTCTCCAAGCATTTTTACATAAAATATATTACGTTTCATGATTTCGCAGGCATATCAGATTGTATTCCCATTTTAACATCTCTGTTTTTACAAAACAATACTTTGTTCTGCATGTTCAAAGCTAGAATAAAGCCTCCATTAAATCAATCTCCCTCCCCTTTACAAGAATCAAAGAAGTAGACACTGAAGATTAAATGGTTATTTCAAAAAGTAAGCAGAGAGTTCAGATAATAGGGAGTAAAATGGAAAAGTGTTGAACAAAGCATCAGGCATCAAATACAATCTGGTATTTTCTTATTAACCTGATCTTTAAGCAATCATTGCATTGGTACTAAAATTACAGCCAAAAAAAAACCTTCCAAAGCCTGGCAAAAATAAAGCTGGCTTAAGGTGTCCTCCTCCTACTGCACAATGCCAACAGYAATTATAAATCAAAACCCTGGGTACGTGTCTGAACTCTCAGTCTTCCAAACCACCATTGTTAAATGGATTTTRTAATTTTCTAGCAATTTTACTCTTTTACATTAGAGGAGTATGAAAACACTTAAATTACACTCTCTAGCAGATAAGACTTCAAAGATTCCAATATATACAGATGCCTTCACATCTCTGATATGCCAAGCATACCTAGACATTTGATTCCATCCCACATCCAGCAGCGTTGTGTATGCACCCACCAATATGGCATCGAAATAACATGGGATGAGGTAACGTGGAATTCTTTTCAGGTAGACAAACATGGCCTTCAACCATTTACCAACCTATTAAAATACAAYATAATTTGAACTTTAAAACATCAGAGTTCAAAAGCCAATGCTTTCAGGAACCAGATTGTTACTGCATTTGTCACATTTTTGTACATGTATTACAACACAGTTTTTGCTCCAAAATTTCAGTTAAAAGACATGAACTCTTAAGAAAAGTAGTACAGAAAAATGTGTATGCATCTGTACTATCAAAAATAAATGGGCCAAAATGTGAAGTAYAGAAGGAGGCTATTTTTTGCTAGTCTTGTGGTCAAAAAATGAACCATCATGAAGCTGTTATTAAAACTGAATAGCAAAGAAAAGTCACAACTCAAAAGGCATCACTATAATCCAAGCATAGGAAGAAAGTTTTGCATTGCTAAAAAGACAAGAATGAAGAGATGAAGCTTAAGACCAGGAATAAAAAGTTATYGGAACTAAATTATGTACAGTCAATAAAGAACATGACTGCAGATCTGTGTCCTGGACTCAGGATTCTAGAGCTTCACATTCTTGTAGCATTGCAAAACGTTTGATGCCTGGAGAGTATTTCTCATTTCTTCTCATCCTCTTTACATTATGACAACTTACTAGAAAGTCACCAAAGATTTAAGCCTTGCAGATAAAGAATTCACTGTGAAAATATTACATGATGAGACTACGCTTCTAACATGATGATGAAGAGGAAGTTACTTATGTAAACAGCAACATTGTGAAGTTCAGTTTCATGTGACTATCCTRCATTTCCATGCAGGAAAATAAACTGACAAAGAAAAGGATTGCATTGTAGTGCAGATATACAGGAACCTTTGAATCTCAGTACTGCCTATCTTCCCTGTGCCTGGCTGACTATAACTGTATCATACTTATGTATGCCTTCATAGTATTTAGGTACTCCCTTGACAGTGCTTTCTTAAAAAAAATAATAAAAATAGGTAAATAAATTTTAAACCACCCCCAAAACCTAGGGGGAAAACAAATGAGTAACTTAAATTTTTATCTGAGGAATAAAAACAACAGGGCGGGACCCCTGCAAGCCTTTATGCAATTGCTAGCAATCCCTTCATGCACATRTTTTTCACATTCTTTTGAAGTCTATTCTCAAATAGGATTGAGGGGAGGGAAGAAAAACATATTAATGGTTCAATCTACTAGTAGAAATTGCCTAGGCAAGAAATACKTTATAGACAGTCTGAAYTTAAACATGTAATTGAAAGTGAAACCAACTAGTAATTTACCAAGTAAGTATKTTTACTCACTTCTGCAATGGCTCCAGCACGTGAAATCAGACGATTACTGACATAATCAATCATCCAGTCTCCAGATCTTAAATTATCACAAAATGGATGACCCAAATCATTCTTYGGTCTAATGTCTGCCATCACTGACATTAAACCTGAAGATACAAACCCAACTTTTCATTAAAACACACACCATTATTGCAAACAGCAATTACAATTCAGGAGGAAAAGGTACATAGCAACAGATGCTCTAAATGRATTACTTCTCTCCATCTGCATTACAAGCTAGGCTACAGCTCAATTTTAGTTTCTTCACCACATATCCTAGAAACTTATGAAAAACATTGGAAATAACTAGCACAATGGAWTTMATATGCTTGGTAAATGACAGACACTCTTCAGTAATCTAGTAATGCCTTGAGTTAGATTAATGCAACTTTTCAGTGGTGGGATATTTGTTTTCTTTTTACTTCAAAAGCCAAGGCATTGGTGTTAAAACACACACTGAGTTGCACTGTTAAGTTTCAGAGCACTGAGAGAGAGAGGATTTGTTATAGTATGAGATTTCCTGGGTACAAAACCAATTAGTAGCATGGTGAAGCGGAAGATAATTACCCTTTTTTATCAAACAAGGGCAGCAGGAATATAACAGTATTACCGTGTGATCTAGATTGAGCAGCTCTCATTAACTTTTTTAACTTGACAAAAAAAAAGCTGAAACCATTACCTTGGAGGCCTGCATACTTTAGGGGTGACCAGTTTGGTATATTGTAACAGCCTCCACCATCTTCTTGTTCTTCTGCCTCACATCTATACAACACTTGATTCAGGTCAGCCAAAGTTAGTTTAGATGCAATACTGAAAAACAGTGGAGAAAATGAAAGAATTAAACCCAAAATAATATCAGTAGGAAAACAGGGAAAGAAGTTCACAATTCTAATTTCAGATTTACATTAAAATACTAAAATATATACAACTCTCTCAATACTTAATCTTGGAAATTAAGACCCTGATACTTTGGATGTTCCAAGATGTTCTCAGATGTTTAAGTCTTTATTTAGAAACACAGTATTAAGTACAAAACCCAAACAATCACATCCTAACATAGAGAAGCAATCAATGTTAGAAAGTCTACTTCAGCCAGTGATTACACAAACTGGGAAGCTTTTCAGTATCAATCCTGCTTAGTATTTTATATATATATATATATGTAAGATGATCTCTCAAGAGCTTTTATTGCACTCTCATAACTCAAACCCATCTGTAGCACCACCACCAAAACCCAACAACCCCTCGCTAGGTTTACACAATATTCTTTGCTCCCATTGTAGCTCTCTCGATTCTGCTCAGAAATTTAAAGAATACTCACGAAGAAAATGGTGTTTTTAATAAAGGTGCTGAATGATCATCAGGAAGACTTCCAGATTTAAAATGAGAGCTGAACTGGATCAAGTGACTGCGGAGCATACCCACAGCCTCCTGCGCCTTTGGGTCAAGACTAACTCTGTAAACATGAAAGCATATCTTGTAGAAATACAGGACGTAGAACTATTCTCCAGTCCTCTATCACTCTTTTTAACTAACACAGCTATTTGGCAATTACAATAACATACCTGAATACTATTACGCTTCCGGGTGTTAACCTTTCAAATTCTATTTCTTGAACAAATTCATTTGGACCTTTTATGGCAGTTCCAGCTTGCTTTATGATTTTACTGTCCTTAATCTTAGAAAAGAAAACAAATTTGCAATTGAAATTCACTGTCTTTCTAATATAGACTATCACAAATTAAAAAATAATACAACTGGACATGGGTGAAGGAGGCTAATTACCTGGATATGCTCTCTGAGTTCCATTGTGAAATTAGGTAATCCATTTATAAAATGTAGATCTTTTTTGTAAGGACTAGCACTTCTCTCGATAGTCCTAGCTTCAAGTACTACTTCATCTATTTTTCCTAAAAAAAGTTAAATCATGTTGCAGCTCTTAAGTTATTTTAAATGAAAAAAGTGATTCTTTTGAAATTATGAAGCAAGTTAAAACAAAAAACCTGAMTATTCAAGATAAAAGTCTCTGCCGCACAGTAAAAGAATAGAAACATACGGTGAAGTGTTTTAAATATCCTACAAATATTACACACTCATATGCTGTATTGTATGTAAAATGAAAATTTTTATTATTTTATAATAAATTAACCATTAAATCAGACAATGAGTGAATTATAACCTGTCTTTTATTGGTCACCAGCTTTCTTAGTTTTCTTATTATCTTCTAGGAGACTACATTGCTTTCCAAACTGCAGCTACAATGGTTTCTCTTTGAAGGGTAATAATTTATTATTAATACACAATTATTCTAATTTAAGTAATTTACACATACAAGGTATACCATTCTTGTAAATGTCTTAAAATATAATGTGACTGATTTTAAAACAGGCACACAGATGTACTCAAAAAGCCAGTTTGGAAAGCTTCTCTTCCGAAACAGGGGCAGGTAATGTGTAGAAGTCATTATACTTTGCTACTTTTAAGTACAGTAAATACTCTGCATAAGTAATTAATATTGTATATGTACTGCATATATATTATCTTTACACTGTGTTATTTAATACAGAGTTCTTATGAAGATGTATTTTCAGGCTATAAAATAGCTATATATATTTGAAAGCTGAATAGCAATGGTATTATATAACAAATACTATATAATTTTAGCCTTTTCCTCCCAGGAACACAATAAATAGTAATCCTCTCAACTCTGTACAATTAACTATTTCAACTGTTAACTATTACTAGCTTACAAACAAGACCATAAAAACCCCCTCACACCCTCAAAGGGAGCTTGCAGCAGGAATATATTCAACATGAACATTTCTGAATACCCTAAACATTGCAAGTCTGTCATTGGTTCTTTAACCGCTTTGGAACATACACGTCAGTACATATAAAATGAGTGTTATGTATTGAAAATTGTCATATAGATCTCACATGTATGTGTTTGAAGTTAAAAGCATGAATAAACTGAATTTTTTACACATGACAACAGCTCTTAGAAAAATCTGTTTACCTGGGATACACATTTCAGGTACTTCTTTACTGTAGAAACAAGTTTTAGGATCCCTGAATGCAGTTCGACACACAGCCACAACAGACTGGTGTGTGTTAGGGCAGTGTCTTGTCACTGCAACGATATCTTCATCAACTTGATCTACATACACCTAGAAAAGAAATAACATTGCAACTGTGCTCACTCAGAGCATATATATGAAGAAGTTGTGGTGTTACYCTCACTTCTTGCCTGATTAAAGCCTTTAGCTCCCAGCTCCTGATGCAGTCTGTTTATGGCCAGCCTTCCTGCTAGAATTCCTGTTTGGAAATTAACTTCACCAGAACTCAGATGTGCTGCTGGATTCCATTTTGCATAAAATCTCTCTTCAGATACTACAGAGATCTGTAAAAGAAGAAATTTAAGCAAATATGAACTATGCTGGGAAATAAAAACAACCTCACCTTAAGGTCTGAACTATATAATAAATTCAAACTTAATATGAAACTAGACAATCTGAAGYAATGCCACATACTGAACTGCTTGGAATTTCAAATAAAAAACCATTACAATGTATGTTCTAGGACAAGAATAAAGCTTGCATTTTTAAAGCTAACTTAGGAGTTGAACTGTAGACATGTACCTGGTGTGGTACTAGTTCATCRTAGCCTTTGGTACTTCCTGTAGCACAGCATGCCATGGCAACAATCATTGCACTGGGAAGAGCATCATATGCAGATCGGTGCTGCATTAAAAAATACATAGGTAATATACAGTGAAACAAAGAAAATTCAATCCTCCCCATTTAGAATACAGAAGATACACTCAATTTAAGAGAGGAACTTGTAATACCATGATCCTCATTTCCTCAATCACAATAGAATTACTGGAGAAAATTTCTCCAAGTGAACTAAGAAAACTCATCAAAATAAGCACTCCAATGCCCACTACTCTCTCACTGTTGTTTGTAAACAGAAGCTCAAGAGAACAGGTCAACAATCAGAAACACAACCACTTACAGCAGCTGGATGAAAGGATCGAAAAAGCTTATTTAGTAAATTCATGTACTTTTCCCCTTGAAAGACAAAATCTTGAATRTCATAGGGTGTTAGAAATATTTTTTCTCTGCATGAAAACTTGAACTGAAATGCATTTTTTCCAAACATTGTTCAGGATATCCAGATTGCATAAGGCCCTCCAATGATTCAGAAATATCGTTTCAGAAAACACTTTTTTTTTTTTTTTGGTATAGATGCTCACCTGAATTGGACATTCATTATCATGTGTAATATCCATAAACAGTGCATGAGCAATAGCTGGCATCAAAGGCCTCAATCGTGGCTGGACGAAAGATCCGACAGGCTCACCTCCAAACCGATAAACCAACCTCCCCTCTTCATGGCTATTGTAAGCAGTCATGGCCTCTAAAGAACAAAATACCTGAGTGTTTGCATCACAATAGCTACCACACAGAACAGCATGCACAAAAATGTTAATGTAGCATTTAAAATTTGTTACTTTGATGTTTTCAATCATAAAAAAAACAACCAAGCACACATAGCTATATTCTCAGCATGGAAACAGCCTTGGAATATTCCATTTACTACAATGCATTAAGGAAGAGAAAGCTAAGGGAAAAAACAAACAAAAAAGCAGAGACCAAACTATTTCTCATAGGATTTAAAAAACTCATGCAACAAAAAGTCAGACATGATGCAGGACTTACATAGCAGAATTGTGCTACAACTCCTTTTTCCCTCACCAGAGAAATATTTACCAGTCTGTAAACTACTGAAGGAGGTCTTATTTTATGGCAATATTGTATTTTTTGTTAAGTACCAAAAAAGTCACAATACAACACCTGTACTTCTATTATATGGAGTATGAAATTAAAAGTGCATAATCCAGTAGAAAACCTTTTCTTGGAAAAAGCACATCATCTATAATCTCTCATTGGAAAGAGACCACACACGCAGCAAGCCTACCTCTTATTAAGGAGGTAATGCCCAGCCTATTCACAAAGATATTGTCCAGCTCCTCATTTCCTGTGAACAGTTCAGCCACTACATACAAATCGGCTCGTAATTTTCTAGCTGTGTCCAGCATGTACTGCAAAAAGCACAGCCAAAAAAGCCACAGAAAGGGGAAAGGTAGATACAAAAAAGGACAAGTTTCAAAGCTAGGCAGGGATTGGACAATAGGAAAATGCCATGCAGCAAAGATAAATAKAAAGCCAAAATTAAGGAACAAAACAAGTTGTTACACAGAAGAGGAYACACAAATATAAGCAAAACCAAGAATTAGCATACAACACAGGAGAAGTTAAATAAAGATGAAGAATATAATTGCATAAGCAAAGAACATGGATATGTAAGAAAAATAAAAAAGCATACCAATGTTAGTTTCACATTTAAAACTCCAAACCATACACTGCAATCCTATATAATTTTCAACTGCTTATTGTACCTCTAATCAGGCTGGTAATTCCCAGGCGGTTGACAAAAACATTGTCAATGTACTCACTGCCCGTGAAGAGTTCAGCTATCACATAAAGATTAGGTCTGACTGATCTGGCTGTTGCTAGCATCTCCTATAGATCATAATACATTTTTAATGCAAGACATCAATTGTCAACTATGTATATACAAACATTAACATGAATGTTAACCAAACATTCATATATGTCATTCATATATGCAGCATATTAAAAATATTGATAACATATAAGTTTCAGAAAACTATAGTTCTATTTTACAGATATTATTTATGGTTGAGTAACTCTAGGAAATTTTCTGTAGACTTCAAGCTAATTACAAAGTTGTCTTAAAATAAAATCTTAGCTCAAAATAGAAGAGCAAAGGTTGGATAAAAGAGATGCCTATTGAAGTAAGAAATCTGAGGAAGGCTTCAGTTTAAGCCTTTGTAGTTACCATCCCAGAAATAGCAACAATAAATAAAAGAATGGCATAAGCTTTGAAGTGGCTGCATTTAGGAGCCACTTACAACTTGTGTAGGCAAATCGACTTGTTTTAGAGRGCTATTCATAGATTTAGGCAAGCTCTGTTACAAAGTTAGGACTAAGCACTAACAAGCTGCGCTACTTCAAACCTATTTACAGCCAATTTATTAGGCAAGTACAACGTTTGCCTGCAGTCAGCTCCCCGGGAAACAATAAGCACTAGTCCTAGCAATACACTTGCCAGGCTAAACTTTTTGCAGGAGTTCTTTACCAGCTTTTAAATTCTGGGAAGTGAACCATTTCCTGTTTAATTTAGCAATAGCAAAATATATATGGTAAAAAAAAAAAGTCAGACTTTCAATCAAGTCTTGGCAATGACTCCAGCTCAAAGGGACACACTGGATACTAGCAGTCATTGCACTAAGTGCACAGYTCAGTGAGGGAAAAGTTAGCCAGGCCCATTCACATCCACAGTATTTCAGCTAAAGTAGAGAAGATTTAATAGCTACACCACTCTACTATTTAAAGTAGCTGAAATAATATCTAATCATCACCAGACAAGAAACTTTGCTTTTATGCCATGAGTTAGATTCATTCCCACCTAAACTCTGCCATATAAGTCCTGTACTGATGCTCTAAAATCTGCAGGATCTATTGCACAGACAGGAAGCTGCTTTTTAATAAACATGCTTAATTTTGCGTACCTCAGCTACATGAATAGGTGTKGAGTGGCAGTTGTCCAGACGAACACCATGGAAATATTTGGCAGTGATTTCAGTGTATTTTTTCATGTGTGCCCAGAGATATGGGCAATCTTCAGGTTTATTACCATAACGCAGTTTCACACTGTCTCCCCAACAAATGAGCTCTCTCCTCAAGTAAACATTTGAACCTGTAARGGAAATAAATTCACTTTATTGTATATGTATATATAATAAAATGTGCACCAAAATGAAAATGTGACATTTTATTTTCTACAGGTGAGGAGCAGAAAAACTTTGTAATGAACAGTTAAAAATTCTAACATTAACCATATTGACTCAAAAATCTATGTACACTACACTGATGTGCAATTTCACACTCTTCTRTGAGAATATCTAGATTCTATAGTGATACTGAAACAATTCTTCAGATTGAAATAAAATTCCTTTTAAGTCCTCAAACGAGTATAAAAACTGTACTCCAGAAAAAGAAAAAAAGCATCAAAAATGAACAAAATTAGTAGTTGTATTTTTTAATATTGACCAAATTAAAAAAAGAATCTCACTATGCTATCATAATCTACCACAGCCACTATTGTCCATTTTATCTTCTTTTAACAGCAGACTCTGATGGATTTCCAAAGCCAGTAAGTGAAAAAACAGGAAYTGTAATTACCACAAATTCCAAAAACATTCATGTAAGCACAGCTAACCTTTTCCTTCACTAATAGCAGCACAGCCACATGGACAGAAAAATTGTGTTTCTTTGGATGCACACGGTGATTTTTTCAAAGGGTCATTTAGAGGACTGGCTGCATTTGTTTTGCAATTCCTTTACTATGCCTTTGTGTACCACATTTTCACACTGTGTTCTCACTTGAAATAATGTGTGGCAAAAAACAAAGGCATGACACRAGTATAAAGCACTCAAAAGGCTGTAGCTGAGTTACGACAGAAACCTCAGTAATGGAAACTAAGTATGCTAACTAAAGCCAGTGACAGAGAGAAAAAAATACAAAAGTCTGCCTAGAAGAAAGGGCAATAAGCTGAAGRCAACTGACCAAAAACATTCTTGAAACATGCGTTCTCAATCCTTGAGAAGGAGAATAAAAGTAAATAAAATCTAGGGAAAGGGTTGTAGTAAAACATTACTTTGCAGAAATTAAATCACTGYTAACTCCAGATGATTCTGGTGTATCATCAAATTAACTTGTAAAGTAGACTCAAACTTTTAGATAGTTTTAAATTATAACTAAACTGGCTTTTGTTTAATTTAATTTACCAAATGAATGGCTACTCTGAACACAAGCTTTTTTTGCTTTTATTGGATATCAACACTGTTCCCAAAGGAATTACAATGCAATATTTCAGTACATGCTGATTTTATGCCCTATTTTACCTTTACAAGTAATCTGCATKGTTAATTTGGATTAACTGGGTTGTCTCTTGACTGCCTGACTGCCACTCAGTGGACTTTTCAAGGATCCAGTTTTTGCTCACTAATGCAGTAAAATACTATTCACCTTTTCATTGCATTAGTTTTTCTGCCACACTGTCATTGTCTCATGGAAATGCCAACAAGCACTGGTGTTGGAACAAAGTACAAAGTAAGCAACAAAGACAATGACAAAAGTAGGGAGGCAGGACGTCCCCATTTCAGTGGCAGAAAGCTGGTAATTTCYCTCTCAAATCTTGTAAAACTGTACCTCAAATTCCAGTTCTTACACTTCATCTGTATGCTGAATGGGAAATTAAAGTGCTATAAGCTTAGTATCTGCTATTCTGCAGCTTCATAGGAATACATCTGGAAAAAAGACAGATTAAATAAAATCCTTTTTGCTTAAGCTAGAATATCAAATGATTTGTAAGAAATCAAATTTCTTTTACAAACCCGGTTCTGCAAAGTTTCTAAGAGGATCATCTCCCATAACCCAGCCATTATGAGCCATGAAATAACAAGCTTTATCTGGCTGATGTATCATAGCTTCTTCTTCCTCCACAGTCAGCTCTTTGAATGGATATGTAAAATACCTATGGAATAGAGGGCGATTAAAAGAGAAAACAAAGAGACAAGCACCAAACATATATGGTAACCTAAGCTACAATTCATTGTCTTTGAAATTAAAGTATCTGCTATGAACTGGCTTGTACATAATACAGATAGAAAAAAGACTAACTTGCATAAATGATGGAGAGTTTTCTATTTTGAAGCAAACTTTAAAGGAGAAAGAACAGATGTTGCCACTATCTTGATGTCAGYGGCTAATATAAGATTAAAGCTGTATCTTTTTTAGATATGACTGGCATCAAGCACATGAAATGTGAAAGCTGTAAAGTTTTCTAGTTCCACCCATCTTCCACCTACAGCAGCAATTTGCACTATGTAAGGTTTTGATGTRCTGAGCATTGTCTCATGCTTTCTGGTCACATTTGTTTATGAAAGAGTTATTGCTGCTGCTAAAAAATCCTGTCAATTCACTAGGTGGTATTTGTCCACGGGAAAGAAAACATATTGACTTGCACATATAAATGTATACTTTTACTGAACTTTGAATTTGCTTTCCCTGGATAGATTCTAACAGTTTCCAAACAAACAAGAAAACACATATATACCTCGTAACCAAGGGATGTTTTCTACTGATAAGACCCAGCTTAGGACCATTACAGGCGATTCGTTCATAAACCACAGTCCCCACAAGGCAATTCACAGCCTATAAGTAATTAAATTATGCATTATTGAAATGCCTACATTTATTTGCAATTTTAAACAATTCAGCATTGAAACACAGTAATTTTAACACCTGTTCTTGATGGTGACAAGTCTGTCTGTATTGCTCAGCATTTAGTTCCTCAATCCTCTTGCGAAACCAGTTACAACATTCTTCTATTGCAGCTGGTCCATTGCTTTTCAGAATGACATTAAAAGCAGAGAACAATTAGAAAAAGTTATTTTAAAAACATGCAGTAAAATTACTAAAAGGAACCAAAAACTAAGTTTTTCCCCATGTCTGAAAAGTTTCTTTTTCTTGGCTTCATAAATTTAACTTCACTTAGATTTTAAACTGTAATCAATACTACAGTACCTGTGTGGGATGAATGTTGCCAGTGCTATATTCATATCTACAGTACAGCCAAGTCGTCTATAATCAGGGTCCTGAATTATTTGAAGATGTTGATTTGGATCGGATTTAGTGCTCATTTTGCCTAAGAACAAAACAGAAAAGAGTTCTCAAAGTAAAAACAGCAATTACATTTAACAGACATACACTTGTTCTAATTCTACCACAACCAAGATGTGAGTGGATAAAGGCACTGAAGGGGTACGAAGTCTTAAAAGATATTCCTAGACCTCAAAGCATTCTTGTATTCTTAAATCAGCACAGTAGATGTCTCACATAGCAAAAAACAGTATTACCTTGTTTTCAATCTAACTGTTCAGTTTATCTATGTCTCTTGAACTAYAAATATCTAATTTACATGCTTCAGCAACATAATCGTCCTTTACCTTGCGTTAGAAGGCTTTTAAATTGCTGCACAGCTTTGTTAATATCCACTTGGAAAAATTCCCATAGTTTAATTTTTGGATATATATCTTCACAAATTATTTTACGYAAACACTGTAAAAATAAAAATTGTGTTAGTTACTAAGGTTGTTTATTAATATAATTAAGAAAAGGAAAGGGCTTTTAAATTTTTCGGAAAAAAAATGGGGAGTAAGGACTTTTTTCACTAAATATATCTGCAAATTATACACCATTTTTTGTGCATTTCCACAATCCTAGAAATATTAAAGGTTTATTCAGTTATTYATGCAGTTCATTAGGTTATACTTCTCATTCACTTACATTCAAGTGCTGATCATTTTCAATCAAGGGAGGGACCCCTTTGGCAATACATTTTCCATCAGCCACCATACCGGTCAAATGCCACAGAGCTCTATCCAGGACCCAAGCAGGTTTCAGGTGAGGAGAATTTACAAGGTTATAGCCACATTCTGGATGCATCCTGAGCCATTCGCTGTTAGTAGCTTATTGAAGAAAGGGATGGGGTGGGGAGGGAGGAACCAAACAAAAACATGAATGTGTTAAGTTGAACCCTTCACTGGATTTTGTACACATCTTAACACCAAGAAGTTGAGGTACTACACCATGTATAGTTCATTCACACTTCAACTGAAGTTTTCYATGTCAGTAGAAAATCATATCTTCTGAAAAGGTGTTATTACTGATTGACTTTTTTTGGTCACAAATACAGCTGCAGATACTGCAGAAAAACTTTTTGTTAGTTACACAAAAATATGCAATAGTGCCACCAATTATAAAACATTAAAAAAAACCCAAATGTTTGTTGCAAGAAATACATCAAATCACGAACATAAGATACTGATGTTCTTTGGTGTTGAAAGCCAAACATACATACCAAACTTTATGTTATGAAGTGTTTATTTTTTAATAWTCTTCTTCCTTGTCAGGTGCCACACACAGTCAGAGAGGAAGAGTGCCAAACACATCACCCAAAAAAAAAAATTAATGCAAAATACAGTTAAGGTGGCATTTAAGAAAGGATTAACTGTGACMCTCGTGTACATGAAAAGAAGCTGAGTCATTGGAAGCAACATCACTGAGTCTTACAGAGCAAGATGAGYGCCCTGTCTGGTGCATGCAAATGGAACACTAATTCAGAGCAAACACTACCCTCTGTGTCCATCTGCCAAACTTCCCCTGTGGCATCAACAAGCACCAGATGATATCCTCAGCATTAAAAATTAACTCAGAGAAGGTAAAGAGCCTTCACTAGAACACAGATTTAGTATTTTAATATAGACAGCCTGYATGCAGCAGTATGAGTAAATACATATATAGCACGGAGTTTTGATTTCAGAAGTATGACAACAAAGAAGAACCTAAAAGTTAATTTCTTTCCATTTTTGCAACTCCTTTGCAACAGTGTTTTAATTGAAAAAAAAGTCATATATTATTCTGAATAAACAAACTGAAAAACTAAATTATAAAACAGAAAATAAAAAGAAAACTTCACAGAATGCTGAAGAACAAAAAACAGGATTTCAGAAAAAGCAGAGAAAAACAGAAGTAGTAATTCACACATGGGCAAATATGTAACAAATTATTATATTGGAAATCTGAAAAGTCACTAATGTGTCCAGAATTAATAGAAGAACAAATAACATTAAAAATTGTTTTGCTTAGGTTTGCTTAGTTCAAAGAAGTTAAAACAAAAATGTCAAATAGACAGGAAAGAATGTACTAGCTCTGTCTTTAGTGTGAACAGCTCTTCCGAGCACTCTGTTACATTATAGTTCAAGACATGGCAAAAGTCCATGTTTATAAGGTCAAGCCACTTGCAGAAATTAAAATCCTTATGGTTTAAATACTACCTACAACTAAACCCAACAGGTCTTAAAGCTACATAAAGCAATATTAAGCTTAGGCTGTTAAAGRCTGCTCTAGGCTAAAAAGCCATACAGATTAATCCCTCCTACCCTTTTCTTCTTTATACTTTACYGCTTCTTTAAAAACCATTTTTCTTTGAAAAGCAAAACCAATTTGTTCTATTGCTCTATCAAGAACTATAATTTACTATAAAGGACTTTCACAAGTAAATACAATTAATTCTAAAAAGAAACATATAATTTAAATCTAAGGGGTTAGCATTACAAAAAAAGTCAACCAGCCTTTCATTAATTCTGATACAGAACAGAAGAATGTTTCCTGATCAGAAGGTGATTCACATTTTCCTTCTCAAAWATATTCTGGTGTGTAATTATTAGTRAGGTATTTCTGTCCATCAAAAAACATTTTKCTTTGTAGCCTGCAAACATACACTGTTAAAAAAAAATGACACTATCTCAAGCATGTGTAAGAGAAGCTAGACTACTAGTAAACAAGTGTAAGAAATTTTTTTTATCCAAACTGAAAGGATGTTTAAAAGCCTAATTCCCTCTGACACAGAGYCAACAATTATAATTAGTAACCCTTCAACAAACAGATAGGGCAAGCACTGTGTTGCAGACTGATTGGATAGGAATGTTTGGCAGCAGTCAACACCAAAGAACTAAAGCAAATAAAACTTGAAAWTCACATATTATCTATGTTTAGGGTTTTTTGAGCCTCAAAAGACATCAACCTAAATAACCACTTGTTGTAGTATCTGCTATGAGAATGCTAATTACAATCTTTAGGATTACAGCATACAATAGTAACTGCATTATAAACAAAGAAAATTCATTATCCAAATAATCAGCAAAATTACAAATTATGAAGTACTGCAATTAAAATTTCATCAGATCACACAGAAGAAAACCCACTGTCCCTAATGCAATTAAGAAAAGTAATGCCTTCAATGTATTAACATATCTATGCTTTAAAAAAACCTGCCAAACACAAAGCTCTTCTTTCTTTCCCCACAGACTGARCTGTAACATTTCCCCCATTACTTAATTCTACCTTTTTGTCCCAACTCTGTTTATTGTCTGCATAGACCCAAATCAGAGCAGCTACTTACTTTTAAGCAGCTACAAGCATAACACCCTGTTTGACAATGAAGTACTCAGTTTACACTCCTCAAACAATTCATAATAGAGTCTGTATGGGAACAGCACACCACAGATCATGAAGATAGGCATAATGTATAAATACAGATACACAACTTCTTAATTCTTTTTAAGAAGGGCTCTATTCACCCTTTCAATAATAACACTAAAGTTCTTCTATACCTCTTACAGAGACACCAGTTTTAATTGCAAGGAGCTGTCCTGGGTTTGCAAGACAGAGACAACTACATTGCTTCAAACAATTCCTACAAATGCATTCAAGAGAGAGAAGTTCAGGGAAATAATGAAATATAATTATAGGATCAATTTAGTTATTAACACACAAAAAAAATCATACCAGTATGATTGTAGACTACATCTGTGATGCAAAGCATATTCCATTCATTTTTCAATTTCTCCACAAGTGCTCCTATATCGCTCCAAGTGCACTTCTTATTATGGTTTGAAAATTCTGGATTTACTTCTAACTGATCAGCCAGTGAATAACATGATCTAGACAGTCCAAGCTTCTGCAGTGGTGTAAAATGAATCATGTTGTAACCTATGTAATAAGAAGCCATTTATTTAATAATAATAATAATAATAATAAAATCAAAGTTAATTGGAGGAAGTATAATAAACTGCAGTTACAACAGGTACTTAAAGCTAGTTTTTGGAATAATCAGTGTAAATTGATCTGAATCTTCCCCTTGAAATTCTGTGAAACAAAAACTTTGAAAATCACACTGTCAGTTCTACAAACWTGCAAGTTTATCTGAAATCAAAACAATAAAATAAGTGGTTTTCCATATTAAGAAATCCCTGAATTTTTGCACCTCTGCCAATATTTTAATCAATTCACTGATTTAATTTGTTAACTAGATTGGATGTAATAGAAAATATATAGTCTGCAAAGAATGAGTTGTTTACACTGAAGCTCTTCTGTGTAACTTTGGGTTTTGATCATAAAACAAAAACTTGTATCCTTGAATATGTGCATTATTGGCATTACCTGTTTCTTTTGCCACTTTAAGCCTATCTTCCCATTCATGAAACGGTCCCAGACATTTAGCGAGGAACGTCTGGAGCGTAACACAATCCAAAGGTAGTACATGATTATCAGCTCCAACATGCAAAATGGGATCCACAACTATGTAGCCTCCACCACTTTTTTCATTTCTAGGAAAAAAAAATTTTCATTGGCATAATTCACATCTGTACCAGTCAGATTCAGAGAGAGAATTCAAATAGCACAGGTATTTCAGAAACACAGTATAGTGGCTGGGGGGGAGAGATGGAACAGGACTGCACAACACCTGAAGGAAACCTCTTAGGTATAGCTCTGTACTGGATTTAAAGAATACAACTGGGATACAGAGCTTGAAACWCTCTTGAAAAGTGAGATACTTTGTTATTTTCTGAGATGAGTACTGGTTCCTCCTTTTGGCATATGAACACAGAGCAAGACTGCCCATCTATTACACAAAGATCTCCATTCTGAGCACCGTCTTCAGGAAGATACCTGAGCTAAATATCCTAAGCCTGGAAGAATTTAACCACCCATCTTCCAAAAAACCACAGTTTTTATAGATAGTGGAATTTTCTTCTGCAGTTGTCCCACTTCAACAAAGGAGGAAGTAAAGGATCCAAGTAAAGAATGCCAGAACCTCTGTGCTAGATAGAAAACAATCCTTAAAGTCAATGAAGAAAGTAAAAATTGATCACTGAGATACTCAGAATGCTGAGTTTGAAAACTTGTAACAACAGATTGTTTCTCCAACATTCACAGAATATTGATCTATGTGGTTCTATCTATTCTCCAGAATATYTCTACATCAGAAAGCATTAAATAACTACCAATTACTGTCTTCCTTTAGCAGATTCTGATTGGTCCTATGGTTGCAACTTAAAAAATGCATGGAAAAAAAAATTTTCTTCAGGTTAAAATGTAGACCATGGGTGCAAACTGTATTTAACGTTAAGTATATGAATTTCACTTACCCAAGACTAAAATAGTACTGGTATGACCCAGAAATTTGGAGATCCAACTTGCAGTATTTGTCAGAGTCATCTTCTTTTCCTGTGGGATTGTGCCATGATAGTGTCCTGAACTTGTGGCGATCAAATACTTCTCCAGAAGCTGGATAATTTGTGTACACRGTAACGGGCTTGCCCTGAAGAGTTGGGCCCAATCGGAATTGTAGCTCAAAACCTCAATAAAAAAAGAAAAAGATAAAATCACTTGATCAGGAAGACCAGGTATTACTAATCTCTTATTGTAAGTCCTAATTTATCACATTGTTAATAAGATAATATACCACTATATCTGCCAAGAATTTCAGCAGAATGATGCATTTCTACAGCATAGAATCAAAGAATATCTTGAGCTGGAAGGCACTCACAAAGACCACCCAAGTCCAATTCYTGGCCCTGCACAGRACTCTCCAGGAATYRCATCATGTGCCTGACAGTGTTGTCCAAATGCTTTTTGAACTCTGTCAGGCTTGGTGCTGTGACTTCTCTATGAAGCCTGTCCCAGTACCCAACCATGCTCTGTGTGAAGAACTTTTTTCTGATAACCAACCTAAACCTTCCCTGACACAGCTCCATGCTGTTCCCTCAGGTCCTGTCAATGGTCACCCCAGAGAAGAGATCAGTGTCTGMCCCTCATGAGAAAGCTGTAGACTGAAATGAGTTGTCTYCTCAGCCTCCTCTCCTCCAAGCTGAGCAGAYCAAGTGACCTTAGCCACTCCCCATACAGCTTCCCTTCAAGGCCCTTCACCATGTTTATYACTCTTCTTTGGATGCTCTCTAATAGGTTTAAACCTTTCTTACACTCTGGCGGTCAAAACTGCATCATCTCTCCCTACCTTCCTAATGTTGATGCTTGCATACTTTACACATATCCTTTTTTCTTTACTTAGCCATCTTTGTGGTTTCTTGATCCCATCCCCCCACCACCAAAAAATCGGACCAAGTAAAACCATGACACATGGCACTATTCATCTTTCCAATCTGATTCTCTTTGCTATACAGGAAGTTTAAAAAATAAATTACAGCAGAACACCGATATAGTTCAACTACATACAATTTTATGTAGATTTTGGATTAGGTGGTCTTTAAGTACTTAGGTTTACCAAGTCTATATAGTAGGCTGATTCATGAAAACATCTGAAAAAAATTAGGAACACATTTAAAACCAGAAGATATGTCAAATACCTTCGTCATTCATTGAGGGTTCACTAAACAATTAAAACTCCTTATGCTTTTAACTGAAAAATTGTATATACTTGTGTGTGATTWACAATACACGAATTGTTAAACTTTCAGAAAGCTCAACAAACAAAACTGAGTTTTGTATCTGTGCTGCAGGTCATACACACATAGAAAGAGGTTCAAATGTAAGCTTAAGATATCTGCAATAAAGAGAAAAAAAATGTTAAAAAATTGAAACCTAAAAGCATATGTAATCTACTGAGGGAGACATAAAAATTCTGTTTAGTCAAGAGGTTTTAGAATAGGTTTCCACTTGTGGGTATGAGGATCACTGTCACACGTGTGACRTAATTACAGGGTTCCTTCAACTGAATAAACCAGATATAAGCTCTTACACAGAAACTTTCATTGAATTACATGCCAGTCATGTAGCTAAGTGTAATAAACATACTAGTTCTAGGAGTCTACAAAACTGTGAATAAAAGAAACCTGCGTACTTGCAAAAAAAACGAGAAAACTATTAATACAGAGATAATGAATCAGAAAGTGTAAAAAATCCTGAACACCGAGTTCCAGTGTCTTAAATTTAAAAAAAAAAGAACAAAAAAAACACTTGCTTATTAAGTAGAATTATGGGGACTCTAATATCAGGATTCAATGAATACACAGAAATAGAAGCCTTATCAAGCTTGGTGTTTCTCTTATTAAAAAAATCACCACTGCACCAAAACTACCAGGCAAAGCAGTTGTTTTCAGATCTGAATGTCTGTCAGCTAAAATGAAGCTCATTTGAATTATACATATATATATATATATATATATATAACCACTTTTGGAAGGTTAAGTACACTCATATGCTCTCTTCAGTACTGGTCTGACATTTTGTCACAGGGATTACTAAAATTAGAGCACAGGGATATATGTCATTGATATCTTATTTCCTGTAAGAGTTATACTGACATCAAGAATGTTGTGCTCAAAATTAGCTATGCCCTCTCAGAGGCTGCTGCCAGCAGAGGCACTTTAAATGTTCACTTCTGATTCCCTCAAGAAAATTTACAMAACTGGATGGATAACTTAAATGAGGAAGTTAGGATCAACTCTGCAYTTCYTCACTACTGAAATTTTCTTAYATTAGGCTGTCAGAAAATCTTTAAATCAATACAGGTCTGTTCAATATAGAACAGAATTTTTATTCTCAAGAACCAAAATCTTCCTCCTCTGCTAAACCACTTTGATATTAGATTCCTAGGTTAGTAATATACAGCAATAAACCACATAAACACTCTTAATAAAAACTGTTGCACCAAGAAAAAGGGTTTTTAAAGACCAGGGCTTTAGTTTTATAGTTAAATTTGCTGACCAGCATAATAGTGAAACAATTAGTGGATTTTTTTTTTTTAATTTTTCCCAAATAGACTTAGAAACACTTTCAGGGAGAAATAACATCAAGTTCTTAGAAGTATGCAGCAGGACACATGGCTCTGATAATATAACAAATCTGATAACAAGATTAAGGAGTTGTTAAAGAGCTTATATGCTGAAACACCACCTCAAACCTGCAGACTCTGAAAAATGCTAGCATAACTGATAGATTTCAAAATTATAATATTAAAACATGGGGTGCTGCRTAAGAAGATACACAAACACTGGAGACCTTGACTTATGAGGACTTTTCCARGTCACTGAAGTACAGGCTATAAAAGGAGAAGGACAGGGCCTGTCTAAAAAATGCTTTGCGCTTCAGTACCATGAAGACTGACGACTCTTGGCCAATMTGCTCTTCATTTCTCAAAAAGTTTAACAAGCAGATTAAATAGTGTGCGGAGCCAACAGAGCTCTGCAGTGGAAGCAATTCAAAACAAACCAAGAAAAGCAACCTACAACAAAACGCAAACCAACAAYACCCCCAAAACCCCACCACTTCAGCCTGAGCTCCCCTGCTACTGCCGTCCAAGGACGAAGSCGAAGTCACGGCCACTTCCCTCTCACCCGGCCCCGGCACCCCGACCTACCCTGCTCCAGCCTGAAGAGGGTCTTGTCCAGCTTCTCCATCTCGCCGAGGTGCAGCAGCCGCGTCTCCTTACCGCCCGGCATGGCTGCGGCCGCCCGTCCGGCGCTCCCGCTGCTCCGGGACTCTCAGTGCGGAGAGGGAGAAGGGAGCCCTGCCGTGAGGGAACACAGAAAAACCCCAAGGGTCAGCGGCGACCCCCGGCAGGACGCGGCCGCTCAGGAGCGCCTCAAGCCGCCGGCTGCGCTTACATGTTCCCCGGTCCCGGGGGAGCGCGGCGACACGGCACTGCAGGGCAGGGCGGACGGGAGGCGGGTACGGGGCGAGCTGTCAGGCAGCGCCTGCCTCAGCCGGGGAGCGCCGCCGGCAGCACCCCGGAGCAGCTCCCGTCCCACAGCACGGCCCGGCCCGCAGCCAGAACTCCAGGGGTGCCCCMGGGGAGGGGGAGCCTGACACCTGTCACTCTTCGCGCCCGCCCCGGCGCTGCCGGAGTGCCCCGCCAGGCCCCTCACGGCCGCCCCGCCGCCCTCAGCCGGGAGCGCTGCCCCCCGCAGCCRTCCCACCATACTCACGAGCGGGCCCGCAGAGCGGCGGAGGCGCCGCTCCCCGCGGAGGGCGACGGCTGCCGAGGCCGAGCGGAGCCGGGGTTGGGGTTGCCCGCTGCGGCCAGTCGGTAACGCACTTGCCGGGAGCCGCGGCAGCACCGCTCCTTTCCTACCCTTTTCTTGCCTTTTTTTTTTTTTGAAACAAAGTTTATTGGTTCCGCGGCGGCCGCGCTCGAAGACGGGCGGCGCCAGCGCAGCTCCCGCGAGAGCCCAGGGCCCGCCCCGGCGGCGCTGAGGGGCGGCCGAGCCGGGAGTGCCCCGAGCCGGGAGTGCCCCGAGCCGGGAGTGCCCCGCCCCGCCAGGCCGCGCCCCTCCGCTTCGGTCTCTCCCTGTTAGGTGCCGCCCCTCCGCTCCAGGCTCCGTCCCTCCGCTCTAGGCCCCGCCCAGGCTCGGCCCCCCGAGCTTGGCCCCGCCCCATCAGGTCCTTCCCCTCCGCTCCCGGCCCCGCCTTGCCCGGCCCTGCCCAGCCCCGCCCCCCCGTTCTTCCGCTCTCAGCCATGCCCCTTCGCTCTCGGCCACGCCCCGCAGATCTGACCCCACCCCGCCGTTCCCGACCCCGCGAAGTGCGCTCTGAAGGAAGAGGATACCTTAGGGATACTCCAGGGATACCTCAGGGGTACCCCAGAGTTCCCTCAAGGTTCCCCCAGAGCTACCTCAGGGTATCTCTGTACTCCGCGCTGTACCCCGCGCTGTTGCGGCAGCGAGCGGGCTGATCTCTCCGCCAGCCCGGGCCCTGCAGCCCGGCAGGGCTGTCGTACAGCGCGGAGTGGTGGTACCTGTCTCCTGTCTCAGCCTTTACAGCCACCGCCCCACCAGCTCTTTACGCTCGGCTGGTGCGCACAGGCACGGCAGGTGTCCCCGAGGGGCCCGGGCACACGGGTCCGGAGCTCGGTGTGATGAACCGGGCACACCGCTGAGGGCGAAGTGGCTTKAAAGGCTGCCTGGAGTATCCCGGCTGGCGCCTCTGGGCCCAGCCGCTCCTTGCCGTGGCTGGAACGCCGCTCCTCCGAGTTCCCTCAGCGTTCCCGCCCCGCTGCCTCAGGGCCGGCACCCAGCGCCGGGCGGCCGGCTCCGTCCTGATAGGCTGCGCTGGAGAAAAAACATGATGTCAGCCAGGGTTTAAGTGCTATATATAGTGTGTGGACAAGACTACAAACTCCGTGGATCTGTCTTTGACCAAGAGGTAGCATGGTTTTTAAAAAAATCCCCAACACCAGACCACCCCCCACCCCTTGTTTTGCAGCATACTGTCATCTGAACTGCTGACATCAGACAGCCCTTAACYGTTGCTTTGTATTGCAGAACACCTGGGACAGTTTGCTCCAGGCCTTTCACCACCGAAGTCATTAACTGCACCCCAGTGTAAAGGTCAGCCTTGCAGCTCTGGAAGGTCAGTCTATTTTTATTGCCTAGAAATACATTTTAAAAAAAGTGCTTCTCAATTTACAGTCACTGTGTTATACTGTGGGTTTTTTATTCCTTTTTTTTTTTTCATTCTTATCAAAGGTGATATATTTTGTGGAATTGAATGGAGTCTTCAAAACAATTTAGGCTTAACCATTTACTTCCACCCATCCCATGCATACCCTTATAAGTGTATTTTACTACAGGGTGTTAATCCAATTACAGTGCATTTAGAGGAAGTCCAAAGGCCTTGATATTCATGGAAACACTACCACCTACTTCAAACTGGAGGTTTTTTTTATCATTTGTTAGCTTTTTTCTTTATTTTCTCTTTCACCTGCTCCTCCCTTTGAACATTTCAAGAATTCTGTTCATTCCTCATTACAGTTAGTGTTTTTTTGGTATTGTTGAGAAAGGTTTTCATGTTGGTGTAATTGAATATGGCACCTTGTATGCCCCTGACAAAATTAGGATTCTTAGAAAGAATGAGGGAAAAAGAAAAAAGCCCCCCTGGGGGTGTGCTTCCCTTAAGATTCACCTCAGTGAGGCTCGCTTAGAAATGATTCAAATGTGGTATTTATAATCTGAGTTATTTCACACAGATATTTCCTGAATGCCCAGTAGGATTCTCCCATTGTCCTTGTCTTTTCTAACTTCCTTAATCTTTACTCAGCTTGCTGGCCTGTCTTTGTATACAGGAAAGACTTGCACCTAGTTGAATCCTGSCTCTCTTGGCATGCTGGCTGTTTCCTCCGAATTGGACGTGTCCCAGGAAAGAAGATACCACATAGGAGGGGAAATACAAGAAGCTTCAACAGTTATGGAAGTCGTAGGAACAAAACCAACTGAGGTAATTGAAAGAGATATGGACCATCTTTTTTTCTGGGGTCCTCAGCAAGCTTTAGTAGCCTGAAGTGACTTTGCAGTTGGTCTGCCACAGAGCCTTGCACAAGTGTCCTTTCCTCCACGTTTGCTGCTGTCATGTCATGTGCTGCAAATGGGCTGTGATTTAGGAATTTCATGAGAGGCTTACACAGAGAACAGCTCTAAGAGAGGGAGAGCAAACAGTGCCTACTTAGCCAAGTCCTTTGCATAAATAGTTACCCTGAAGTGCATGTTGAATACCTTGTAAAAAGCAAGAAGAGAACCAAAAGTGTATTATTGAAGCCAATTTCTCTTCTATTACTAAATTTTAAAGTGTGGCTCTTGATTTCCTTTCTCCATTTGATRACTTACCCTACCCTAATTATTAGGTTCACACTGATATACTATGCATTGAGACAGATTTTGAAATATACCCAGGTTTGAGAAAAAGGATATTTTTAGTGTCTTGGACAAAAATCATTAGGAAACTAATCCTGAGGCAATTATTTTGACCATCATTTGTAACTGTAGCTAAACAGGGTAAATGAAGGASTTGATTCACTACCCAGGAAAAAAAGTTACCTAGGTAGTGTTAAATCACTTAATAATTGAAACAGTATAATTTAATTTGACTTCAATATATTAAAAAAGTACTGTTTCAAAAATAATGTTGCAGGTGTCTTGATGAATTAAATCAGGAAAACAGAGCAGACATCTCTAATTCATTCTCCATCAGCATAATCTCTTATGCTGGTCCATTCYTTACAGGCTTTGGGTCTCTGTTAATTTAGCAGATGTAAATTGACAAGTTTTTCTCTATATGGAAACCACACCAGCAAAACATGAATGCAYACTATCTTTGAGCATTGCAGATTTTGCCTAGGACAAAGCCAACACCAACCATGCATGGCATTTGCTACATTGGCATCTAAAGGGCGGTTTTCACAACACCACTTTATCTTCAGTTCACAGTTTCTCTGAGTATGATTATGATAAACCACAGCAGGAAATGATCAATAGTTGCTTCAAAATAAGAGTACATACCATATCAATGTTAATTATCAGGAAATAGTTTTGCAGCATTTTCAAATGTACTAATGCCAGAATTCTTCAGTCCTTTTACATACACCTTCCTAGTGGTGCCCCTTTCTTGCCTTCTGTTTTGCAACACAGTTTTAAAGGACACTTCTCCTAGCGATGGTGTCCATACACTTTGGGGAGTTTTTCACTAGGTGTCAGATCGCACTAATGTCATATTGCTTATGCCTGTTTTAAAGGTTATGACTGTGAAGTGAGCAAATTTAGAGTACTTACATGAGGGCACTCATTTTTTATTTTTAATAAYAAGAATAGTTCCCAGTAACAACAGTAAATGCAACTAACACAGAGACACCTTAACTGGGCATCTGACTAAAATWAAAAGCAGATTCCTTTGGCTTGTATACAGGAAATATGAGACTTTATAAAATTTAAAGTGAGCACATTTTTTCTGAATGCTCCACACTCATGCCYTGTAAATTMATGAATTAAGACTGTATTATTGTTCAAACAAYAGGAAGCTTAAGAGGTGTTGCATCTTCTGTCTAGCTTTTATTTTCTAATGGGGAGTTCTCAACCAGAAATGCAAACCTGAAAGAAAGCTSCTTTTCTTTAAAACTTTATGCCTGCAATTTGAKTAAACTGCAGTCCTTTCTGATTGAGATCTTTGCTATGCAGTGACTGAAAACAAGTGTTATTCTTAGAYAGTCACGTGCTCAGCAGAAATTTGTATATGTTCTTGGACATTTATATCTAGTGTTGAGTGAAAACATTGGTGAGAACATTTACATAATCACCTATAGCTTTTTTTAAAAAAATCCCATCTAAATGTCTAAACAGATTTCAAGAGCCTGATAGGCAGTGAATAAATGATAAACTAAAAAAAAATGTCTATGTAAGTAAGAAATCGTATGAGATGGAGAGGCTAGGACGCTAACCTATTTACTTTGTGCTTGCTGGCCTTTCCTGTAGTTACTCAGCAATGTTGGTTTGACCTTTCAAGGATTAACCTGGTGTCATCACAAATTTTTGGATTGCAGCAACATTTTTGGTTTGTTTTTATTCCATTTTGGCCATTCTTCTCTATGTGGCCTCAAACAATCAATGCTCTAACTTCCATGGAAAGTTAATTTTTAATAGAGTTTGATTTTTAATAGAAACTTGTAAGTTTCAATGCATATATCTTTAAAGGAGTCCATATAAACATTGTTAAAGGGAGCTTTTCACATAATTGTTGAAGATAGATTTGACTGTGCTTTAACTAACAGCATCAGATTAATTTGATATTAATAACTGCAAACATGGTGACTTGACAAACAAAACTAAGTATCTGAATTATATTCTTATACCATTTAACTTAGTTAAGTATAAAATAAATTCACATATGCTTGACCAATTTTTGTTGTAGAAAGAGAACATATACCARTGTGCTGAACCACTACCAACACTTTTATCTTCCTGTGAACTGTTCCATTGAGCACTAGTGAGATATGCTGAGATTTAAGACTTCAGTGTATCTATTCCTAAATGAACTGTAGCAATGTCTTACCAAGTAAATCTACTACTTCAGTTTTATATTTTCTCCTCAAAAATAAATATTCAGAGTGTCTCTTGCACACTCCATCTCATTTATGAGATTCCTTCCTAATATATTAAGCTATACTGAGAACACCATGAATATTTTTCTGGTACATTAAAATAATAATTCTTAAATCTTACATAGATAGCTCTTTAAGTTCAAATGGGAAACACCTGACTGTGCTTTTCTGTTCTCTAATTTTGACATTTGTTTTTTAAGCAAAGAAATATTTACCTGATGTTATCTGAAAGCTTATATTTAGGACTGTAGTCCTGCTCTGTTATCTTTCAGTGCAGACAGAATTCAAGCCAGGGTAATTTAATCAGCCTAACATGGTGTAACATGTTGCAGAAGGACAATATTTCATCAAATGCATGACTACAGCAAGCATTTCTTCTAAAAGATGTTAAATATGAGAAGGAAGAACAGGAAAGATGATACAAGAGTGATTTGCTCTAGAGTACTAYAAAACTAGAATTCAGACTGGCAAACCTTTTGCTCTACAGCAATCAGAGCACCTGCTTCAACATTTACAGTTGAATCATCACCAAATGATGCTACCAGAAAATATAAGTTCTTATTTAGTGTTTGTCTTATTGATGCAATCATGTCTTTTGGTTATCCACAAATTTAAGTTTAGGATTACTGACAGGAAGTAGTTTGCCCCTAACTGGGCAGTGGCTCCCGTATGAACACCCAGGACCTAGGAATCAGTCCTGTACTTTGGGGCAAACTGCTGCTGCTGCCCAGTTTTTTTGAGTATCCTACCTCTGCACAAAGCACTGGCTCTCCATTTCCACTGGAGGAATTAATGTCTTATGCAATAGAGCAGCTTTGATATTTTGCTTCTGAGAAAATTTGGAACATCCTYGGATTAGCTTCCAAAGTAACTATGTACTAACCTGACAGTGCAGGAGGCAGCTTTCCATARCATCTCTGGATGGGGTCACTTTACACCTTGCTTGATATTCATTCCTCTGTGCTTATCAGTCCAGGATTGCTGCTTACAGGACTTGAAAACAGGTACAGAACAAACTTCTCTCCCTTATTCTTCTCACAACTCTCCTATGCTGGATATGCCTTTTACCAGCTCTGTCATTGTCTGACCAGGCTTTTGAAAGTCTCCGCAGACATTTAGGTGAGACTTGCTAAAGTAAGATCTAAAATCCCTGCAGCCATTCCCATGGAGCATACTCAAACGTGACCACATGATTCTCCCTCAGGGCCACTGGCCATGTACTAACAAGAACATTTCTACAACTCACAGTGCTGCGCATCGTCCCTCCAGCAGGATTGCTTGTGCTTTAACTCAGAGAAACTGCAAAACCCACAGACACTCTGGATCTGAACAAATAATGCATTTAGAAGCCATGAAGGAGTCAAATCAGGAGCTGCTGAGWAAAGGTGAAAGAAATARAAATGGGTTGTCTGTGAAAGGATATCTRAGATGAGATGAAAAAGGGTAGGAAAATTAGTTCCTGATGCAAGTGAAAGAGCAGAGGAAAAAAGCTGKGGGCAAAGGGGGAATTGAGATTGGCTGGCAAAGAAGCTGATAAGTGTGTGAAAGCTCTCTACAAGATTTCACTTAACCTTAGCTTCACATTATGAATTCTGTAATCAGGTCTAAAGTGCCTTAAACTGAAGCACTTAAAGGTCAATGCCTTTGCCAGCAAGCTCTTTGCTCCCTGTAAAGCAGAATAGAAACTTATCACATCTTGCAGATATAATAAAATTAATAATTAAAAAAAAAAGATAGCAATGGTCAGAAAATGTAGAAAACTCAATGAGGTTAATAATGCAGTACTTTCATTAAATAAAATATTCAAATAGTATGCCTCAGATAAAGCACTGACCCACATCACTTGAACTGGGTGAAATAATTTTACTGAAGCCCTGTATCCATTCATTTAATTGTGTTGTGCACTACATTAAGTGGAGACTCTCAAAAAAGTGACAGGTTGTGTGTCATTTTATCATAACACCTATACAGATCTGTCTCAACATTAGAGAACCAGTCTTAATTATTTCGTTTCAGATAAACAAGGCAGTAATTTTTAAAAAAATAATCTATTTAAGTCAAAGTGGATACATGTTTTGGTAGAAAGCTATGGTGCTGGTACTTCAGCTATTGTGTCAGAATAGACGTGCAAAAATTAAGTTAATTCCCGTGCAGTCGACTGCCAAACTTCGAGTGGCTACTGCCACCAGGTGGCTTGTTACAGTCATTGACTGAAAACTGAAAGTCGTTTTACTTCTAGATAAACAAGTACTTTTGTATAAATACGATTGCGAATTTAAACTTTATGTGTGACATAAAAAAGAAATTAAAAATTATTAATTAATTATTTGTTAGTAAAGAGAAATAAGAACCAAGAATGCATACTGTAGAAGGAAATTTCTAAACATAAGAGGAATACGTTAACCTAGTTTGCAAATTAACAGTTAGTTAGTAAAAAAGGTAAGTATGAAACACTGCCAAAGCTCAAGGGAAAAGAAATTATTAATTAGGGAGAACAACATCTCATYCTACATTGTGACTTTATCATCATGATGACTTCTCATGGTCAGAATTGTTTCAATAACTCAACATTCTCCTGTCTTTGGGAGGAAGAAACCCCATCATGTGCAAATTGATTTGGCAGGAAGAATTCTTCCCATCTAAGATAAAAATACTGTTATTGTTTCCCTAAATGCTGAAAACTTAAAAAATCTTGAAACGCATAGTCTCGCATGTGTGGGATATGCAAGAGAGAGGTAAGTAAATATTGGTGCCAGAACAGCCACTTTCAGAGAAAGCCCAGTATCCAGCATGTATTTGGCCAAATCCAAATGCACTTTTTCAAGCATGTCAGTATTTCAAAATAGATAACACTAGTAACAAAAAAATTATTTGATCCAAGTTATCCATCATCAAAACAATCAGATAGGGATTCAGCCTCTTTGCACATCACTTGATTTGAACTCAAGTGATGTTTTATGGCCATAACCTTGCCAGTAACAGAGCCCAATGCACATGTATATGAAACTTGTGCAAGGTCTGACCTTCAAAAAGACCACAGTTTTGCTGAATAGTTAGGTTAATAACTAAGAGGAAAGTTGATTACAAGGAACYACATAGTAACACAGCTTCTYTTCAGATCRAGCTTGTATGGCTTATTGTTTTCCRTAGAGCTTTGGGCTTAAAAAATAGAATAGTTATCAGTATAGAAGTTGGACTGCACAAAAGTTAATTTCCAAAATGATATATATTTTACTTAATTATTTCCTCGGTTCTTAAACAAAAGAGATTCTTTTCTATACACTTGGAATGAAGTCTCCTTCATTGCCACTGCTTTCAAAATTATAAGCTTTCCCTTACTTCCTAAAGTCCCTATAATATACTATGCAAGAAGACTCATCAGCTTCTTTTCATGTTAGGTAATGTGTTATGCATTTGCTACTTGACATCCTCATCCTCTGAGACAGGTCAGTAGTAGGTTACACAGCTCTGTATCTCTTCAGGCTTGCACAAAGATTCAAACCCACACCCCGGCACTCTTATGTCTCTATTTCATTTGGTTAAGCCAGACACTTCTGCTTTGCAAGAAATACAGAATTGTTATGAACACACTAACAACGGTTGCAATACACTTTACAAAGAAGATGCAATAATTGTATTTTTGTGCCACTTCATCAGCAATTGAGAACTTGAATTTTAAAGTCAGAGAAGYCTGTGTAAGCAATTGCAGTTTCTGCCAACAAAGCCCCAGTTACAGCCAGTACTTATTTGCTTTCTTGATAAGAAAGGCCTGATTTTGCAAGCCTGTATATGTGACCACCTTTCGGCACACGAATAGCATCGCGAATGAGCTCTGCAAGCTTTGACAAGGACAATCTCTCAGTAAAACTAGTTGTAAAACCAGGACGGCCATGCAGACCTCCAACCTTGGGAGGCTGCAGAGAAATCCGTGCCCTAACCCCTTTCCCCGGGGCCCCGGTTCTGGGGGCTCCCGGCGAGCAGCACCCCGGGAGGCTGCAGAGAAATTCCGTGCCCTAACCCGTTCCCGCGGGGCCCCGGCTCTCCGGGCGGGCACACGGAGCGTTCGCAGCGCGCCGATTGGCGGCTCCCCGGGCGCGGCTCCGCGCCCCGCCCCGCCCCGGCCCTCCCGCGCCCCTCAGCACCGCATGCGGGCCGCCCCCGCAGCCAGAAAAGCGCCGCTGCCTCGGGGCAGGCTTTAGTAGAGCAAGGGGCGGACTGGCCCAGCCGCACCTTTCCCCCCCTCCCGCCTTTTTCCTCGGCAGCGGTGCTGGAGAGGAGAGTGCGGCTCCTGGAGCGAGGGCGTGCGAGGCTGAGGAGCTGCTGTGGCCCCACACTGCTTTGGTTAAACTGACGCAAGTGAGTTCTCATAGTGTGGATGCTACAAGCTTTTTGGAAAGTGTATTTGATTAATAGAACATCTATAGCAGGTATGAAGCAAAGTAATATCTGGTGGCATTTTTAAAGTACCTTGTAGCTGCTGCCTGTCATGCAATATTTTTGAATTGCTTTAGAGAAAACTAAACCTGTGTGCCTTAATGAGTAAAAGTAAGCTATGGCTTATTTTAGCTGGGAGCCATACCAACCATATTCCTCTGGCATCTTGTTTGCTTCTTGTTATGTGACTATTAGTTTTTTATTTTGTTTTTTTCATTAATGTGCATAGGAGATGGCTCTATGATAACTGATAATAAATGTGCTCATGCTGTAGTTGAATTTACTTGTTGGGGTAACACACTATGGCTTTTTAGGTCAGTCTCTGACTTTATGTTCTTCATATAAATAAAAGTTTGCAAGATTAGAGCCTTAAAGATAATGTGCAGAGCAGCTGCTCAAGTAAAATAATTAAAGTAAAGAATTGAACAGGGCAAAATCCTTGCATCCTGTTCATTCTTAGTGAGATATATGGAAAAAAAGATGAAGTTTCCATATTTTTAAGATTGTTTCTTCTTGTTTTAAAATAAAGTGCCTCTTTGATAGGGAATAAATGCATAATGAGCTGTAAAATAATGCTGCAAATTTGTGTCAACTGATACTTGGAGGAAGAAGGTATCAGAAATTGGTTGTAGGTTCTCTTCTCCCGTAACTGCACCTGGAGATAATTAAATAATTACTTAGTATCAAACTCTTTAAGGTCTGGGGAAGTAAATGTGTGACAAAGCAAAGGAAGCTGCAGAGTCAGTGTTTCATTACTGCTTCATGCATTTCAGCTGAAGTGTAGGGAAGTCGTATGAAATACGTGCCTGAAGTAAAGACGCTCTTACAAACCTTAGTTTTTTTCTGTATGTATTGTTTCTTTTTTTCCAGATATGCTTCCCGGATGCGGTGAAGGTTAATGCTGTTAGATGCAAGCTAAATAGAAGAGATTACAAAGTAATATAAGTTTACTACAAGTAGAGAGCCAATGGCAGTTTTACTCAGACTTTGTCACTGTAACAGAAGGACTGGCTGTAAGGTAAGTACCTTCACTCAAATTGTTATAAAAAGTAATTTTGAAACACACAAGCCCTTGAAATTCTCTTTTGTAGAAAGAACGAGATGCTGAGGTGTGTATGTTTTGTTGTTTTGTGTGCATGGGGTGTGAATGTGTTTTACAAGTAATGAATTATTATGAATGTCAACACTAAAATTTTTTTGTCCTTGCTCAATCCAGCTGGTGTGATATGACCACTTTTAACTAAGCAGTAGAAGTCAATCCAAGCTTTTTTTTTATTATTTTTTTTTTAAATTTTTTTTTAAAATTTTTTTTTTAAACTCGGAGGGAAGGTGACTCTTGGACAGCAAGACTGCTTTCTCTTTGCTGAGGTATATTTCTAAAGGAATGGGTCATAAACCCTTTATATTAATACAGCTTATTCCCTTTCAGGTGGCTCTCTCCTTTTTTGCTTACCCTCTTGTCTGATRGTGCTCRGGAGAAAATGYCTGTGGTAGTTTTTGTGCYTTTGAATTAACAATATGTTTGCCTTGCCTGTTGTCTTATCTCTTGTTCACCTCTGAAATGAGGTTTTAATTTCACAGTATGCAGCTTATGTTAAACAGTTAATAGAAGACTAACTTCTGATAAACAGCTGATAGAAGATAATTTGTGTGAAAAGATCCTGTATTGGAGTGTAAGCATTGTGCTTATGAGCTATTAGACTACCAGGGCCCTCTTAGATGTTGATACCTGCAGGGTCTGTAGGAGTTGTTTTCAACACAGGAAGGAGTAACTTGCTGCTCTCTGTTAATCCAAATATTTTTCAAATGTCTGTTAATCCAAATATTTTTGGTCTTTTTTGAAAATTATATTAATCTCTACTTAATCTTTTTCTTCTGCTAGCTTTTGAGTTGGTTGAATCTGATAAAGAATATTTCTTGTTTCATTTCAGTCCCTACCACATCCTTTGCTACTTAAAGCGGAATACTAYCCTATTTTTTTTCTTGYCTCTGCARTATGCAGYCTTATCTCTTCTTGTTTTGAAGATTTCTCTGTTACATATAATTGTACTGAACCTTAGTTTTTAGCTTTCTATAGGCTTCTTTAAGTTATGAATAAAATCACATTGATGTAAACTTTTGACAGTTTGGAGAAGCATTGGAACTAGAAGGAAATATTTTAACAACTAGAAGTTGAAGATATGGTCATAATGTTATCTTGAATATTTGAGAGGAACTGAGTGTTGGGTTTTTATTTTCTAGTTCCTGAAACCTAAATATTCAACACTTTCTTGCCTCTGATTTTCTTCTCTTGATTGATGTAAGGTTGCTGAGGAGCCCTTATGTTGAAGTGCACATATAGCATTGCCTTGGAAATTGTGGATTTTTGGCACTGAATATATGAGAACTTTGGAGGAGTTCCTGTTGATGACTCCTATTGTGTAAGACTAATGATTTGCCTTTCTCTGCATTTGACTGCTTTTTAGGTGTCAAGAGTTCAGTCTGAAATGACWGTGTGTTTCTTATCTTCCTGTCCATCCGTGCTGTCAGGGAACTTCATAACCTGATACTTCTTATCTCCTGCTGCAAAATGGGCATGGCCCTTCCAGAAGACAGACCTGCTTGCCTGGTCTGTGTTCCACTAGAGCTCATAACTCATTTCTTGTACCTAAGGATTGAAAGGTTTATCTCTGTTTCCTGGCCTTTTGGATATGGAGACACTTTCTTTTGTGGGTTGAAGTATTCTGTAAACCACAGTACAGCTGTAAGCCCTGCATGCTACTGAGTAGCAAAACAATTATCACTGCTTTTATAGAAACAGTATTGTGGTGGAGCAAAACACTGTATGGTGAAAGCTGAGATTAGGAGTTCATATAACTTTGAGGATCTGTGGTCCTACTACCCCATGTCTTTCRTGCATACTATTCCCTTGACAAGAGTGTGACAAGTAACCCATTGTTTGACTAGTTGTCTGGAGGTCCAATATCCAAAAGGAAAAGTTCAAAGAAGGAGTCTAGTGCTTGTCTGCAACAAACGTACATATTTCTTTGTCTAAATCTTCATACCAAATTCTCACTCTTGCATATATAAAATTGATTTCTGATATTTGGCAATTTCAGTTTTCTTGCAGAAAGAAGAACTTGTTACTGGGGAATTATTTGTCATATGTGAAGAAGTAGACACGGGATGTGGAAAGAAATGGCAGTCTGTAATGATGTAAAAGTTGAAGCTATGATTAATAAAAGTGGGCCTAATACTAGCTGTGTAGTTCCTCAATACTGTCAACTTCTAGACACTGTGAAGCATACTTTAAGATCCATCTGTYCCGTGTTTAAGGAATKTGATTTTTTTTTGAGAGAGGGAACAGGAGAGGGATAGGCAAAAGACATTTTACAAGTGCAATCTAAATGCATGGAAGGAAATAATCCACCCAGTGGATGGAGGTATCCACCAACAATCCATAGATGTCCTGAAATACAGTATTTGAACATTCCTGCAATGTCTACCAGTTATTGGAAGCAGAAGTTATTCAGCAGCTGGGAGTGGTATCTTCTCATGAAGGCTTTTTCTAAACACAGTTTTGTATTTTACCATTCAACTCATTTTTAAAGATGAGTGGTGACTTGTAATGTAAATATTTTTGTAAGTAAGTGCCTGTAAATGTTATTTTAATACAGATGGAACTGCCTGATTTTGCTGTTGCTGTTTGGATGTTCGTTTGCTTCTGTGCACCTGTGGGTGGCTATCCAAATGGAAAAGTAAGAGAAGCCTGCACTAGCATGGTGCCCTGTCATGGTAGCTCTCCTCAACTGTCACCTGAGCACACCATTACAGTGAATGGGACTGAATTTAAAGCAGGGGACCACATAGAAGGTATTGTGTCAGTTCCAACGAAGAGTTTAATTTACCATTTCTTTGTATTATAGTGTGCCTTTCTTCAGTTTTCTATGCTGGATTTATCTAAGCAATTGAATCTTGTTTAGGTAATCCATTAACCATCATTCAGTACTTGTGAAATGAGCATCTGGTAGTCATTGCCATAGAAATATTTCCTTCTTCCTCTGGAGTAGAGTTAAACTTTCTTTTATTTTTCTTCTTGCTTCAGTTCATCTCTCTGGACCAGATTTTGAAGGATTTTTCATCCAAGCCCGTGATGCAGAACACCTGGATAGGCCTGCAATAGGTTCTTTTGTGTTAGCTGACCGGAGACGTTCTCAGCTTCTGACGTGTGGTCGTACCAAGGTATAGTCCAGTGCCTTAAAATGAAGTATTGGGCACTGAGGGCTTTGTACTAGACTATGCAGGAATAGGACAAAGCTAATCTATGTAATCCTATTTGAGTTCAGTGAGCCTCTTGGAAAATTTGTCCAACTTGAAGTATAGAGGCGTGACTTACTGCAGCTCTGAACTGACCTTATGAGGTGTTTAAACTATCCTACTGACAGAAGGCTATTGACTTCTGCAGGAAGATGCAGCATTTGTAACAGAATTTTCCCTTGTCCACAATGAATGTAGTGTATTCCTAATATTAAAAGAAGTCATTTTACTGTCTCTTATTGTCAAAAAGTGGAGCATTATCTTACTAAAAAAACCTCACAATTTCTGCATAAATGCTACAGGGACCTCTGTCTCATTGCTGGAATCATTTGGGTTGAAAGTCATTCCTTTTAGCCTTGAAGTTTGTTAGTATGCCTAAATTGCAGTGTTGCACTTCACCTGAGCTGATCATGACTGACTGGGGAAAAATCAGTTGCCCTGTGGCTATGCAGTGTAACAGTGCAGTGCCTCTTTAGGATTTTGTTGCAGCCTCTGCTGAATGTGTTAACTAACAAAATGCATATCCCGTGTGTGACTCTTGATATGTGTTTGTTTCTAGAATTCAGCTGTCAGTCACACAAGTAAAGCAAAAAAGAAAGACATAAAAGTTTATTGGATTGCTCCTGGAGATGCTCCAAAACATGTACAGTTTCTGTAAGTAAACCTAGTACCAATTCTAATTTATTAAAATGCAAACAAGGGAAACCTGTACCATTGTCTGTGTCAAATATTGTCCAGCAACTGAAAAGTCATTGGACCAATGGCCTGAAAAGTCAACATCCCTTACTTGCTGCAGAGTCTACGATGATGTGGACATTTGTTTTTTAGGGAAAGCTTGAAGGTGATTTTCTTTTTTCTTTCAGGGAGAGTATAAGGGGATTTGGAGAGGGGTTCCTTTAGTCTTTCTAGTTAACTTCTCATACCTGCAATATACAGTGTTAAGAATCTTTTTCTTTGCTTGTATCTAATCAAATGATATGTATACACTCCTGTTACACTACCAGCTTTTTGCAGACTGCAGGATAAAAACAATGCAGCTCTTTTCTGAAGTTCTATTCTATGCTATAGGCATGAATGTTTCTTATATCCTCTGCATGTGGTATTATGTTTGCAAATTATTTTTTTCTACTGAGATTTAAGATATTTTCCTACTTTAATCCTACTTATAAAATAATAGAGCTCTCCATAAAGATGAAGATTTTCCAAATAACTTTTTTGCACTAGATTTATTTTTCCTTTTTTATTTTTCCTTTTTTAAAGTGGCAGTCACCTATAAATGTATGCACTAATGACTCTGTGTGTGTTATGTGTTTTTTTTAAGAGCCACAGTTGTGAAGAAATACAGGATTTTCTGGGTAAAGATTCCAGGTCCCATTGTTTCTCAGCCTGATGCACTGTCCCCAACACCATCTTTGCCTGCAATATCAGAGGCTATGTCAACTTCATACCCAGTTTCCTACATATCAAAGCCAGTAAGTAAGGATAAACCTAAATCAAGCTCTCTTGTGATGAATGGAGTTTAACGAGACTACATTGATACAGGCTATTAACAGAAAAGGGGAGATGATGGGTGAGTAAATTTGATATGACTTAAGAACATGGACAGCTACTCTTCTGTTTTAGTTGAGTTGCCTGAACTTCTCGGGGTTAAATGTTCTTGTGCTGCACACAGGTCAGAAGATTAACAGAACATTTAGAAATCAATGGTCAGAAAATATTATGCATACTTGTCATGAGAAATGAGAGAAGACTTACTTAGTCTTTACTAATCACTTCCTATTTAGCTTCTGAGCCTATGGTTGCTTTCTTCTCTGAATTCATCTGTTACTGACTTTYATTATTGAGTTTGAATGGATTGAGCCAGCATTGCTGTTTGATATAGGATAACTGTAACTTATCAGTGTATTTTCTTTGTATGTTATCAGTGGAGTTTATACCTTAAAAAGCAAACTAAAAGCTGGAGTCCCCTTAATTTCCTCTTCATATTACAGCTGATATTACCTCTCCAAATATTAAACCAAAGGAAGTTTGTTTTTTTTT